CGCGTCAACGATGTACCAACCACAACTCTATTACGTCGGATAATTGCCATGCCGTCAATTGCTTCCAAAAGCTACACTTGGCTGAACCGTGCCGCATGCTGACTCTCAGGACTCAGCTCAGTAACATGTTGTCGGGGAATTTTGATATCGTCCTCATTGGCAGCCATGGTCAATCCACCGCTGGATGATGGCCACCTCTTTCCTCCACCCCTCCCCCGAAGTCGACGCCTCCACCACCGCCGCCATCTCTCACGACCCCTCTCACCACCCGCACATCACCTTGCTGCTCCATCCACACCACGAGGCGACATCACCACAATCATCGCTCCGTCTCCTCCACGGTGGTGGTGGGGGGGACGCGTTCCCCATTCCCGTGGCTGCCACCATTCCCGTTGCGAACATCGTCAGCACGCTCCCTTGTGGCCGTGATGTCTCCTGCCCCAAGCCCCACTCACGCCTCTCTCACTAACAGTCTGGATGATGATGATGATGGTGGTGACGATGACGATGTCATTAACCTGCGTGTGCTCTCCAATCCACGTGCTCCTCTCTCCGTCTCTCGGTGTAATTCCATCCCTGCATCTCTCCGTTCTTCTATCGCTGTGGTCGTGGTCTATCCACTGCTGGATGAACACCGACGTGATGACGATGTCCGTCAGCACGCTCCCTTGTGGCCCCAAGCCCCACTCACGCCTCTCTCACTAACAGTCTGGATGATGATGATGGTGGTGATGCTGACGATGTCATCACACGCCTCTCTCATTAACAGTCTGGATGATGATGATGGTGGTGATGCTGACGATGTCATCACACGCCTCTCTCACTAACAGTCTGGATGATGATGATGATGGTGGTGGTGACGATGTCATCACACGCCTCTCTCACTAACAGTCTGGATGATGATGATGGTGGTGGTGCTGACGATGTCAGCACCACCACCATCATGTGCTCTCCATTCCACGTGCTCCTTCCTCTGTCGGCGTAATGCCAGACACGCCGTATCTCCGTGCTTTCATCGTCACGGTCTATCCACTGCTGGATGACGCCAATAAATCTGCGTGCGTTCTCATCCCCGTGCTTCTGTCTCTGTCTCTCAGGGTAATCCCATTAATGCATTTCGCAATTATTCATTCTATCGCTATAGTTATGCTCGATCCACTGTTGGATGAACACCGATGTGGTGATGATGTCTTGTCCGCCATGCTCCCTTCTGCGCTCCCTTCTGGCCGTGACACGGAACAATTATCTCTTCGTTATTTACACGAGATTTATATTTTTTATATACGATTTATATTTTCCAGAATGACGCGAGTGATGATTCTGCGCTGTGTATTGTGGAGTTTCGTGCTGAACTTGGGCCTCATACCTAAGACAGAGAGAGGGCCCTTGCCTATAACTCGCCTGTAAACTCATACGGTTTAGTTTCACACGTAGGCCTACGGTTTACCAGTGTTCTTGGACAGGGAGATTGAGTTTCCAGGTCCATGTGGCGGACAGCCGTTTCAATACGGGCAAATACAATGTGTCTATTTGTGTTTCTACCTTGCGATGGGACTTTGTAGGATGAACGCTGAGATTTATAAGGGCACGGGGTTACCAATAAGGTCGGAATTGGTGAGTAATAAGGTAGGGCACTGATAAGGGGTTGACAGGCGTGCGATAACCATGTGTCAGTTCACCAGCTCTGGTTCAAGCGAACCTTGCTCTGCTGGTGAGACACGGAATGCCGAACCTGGTCCAGAGGTTTGCTTCTACTGAAATTCTGTTGAAATTATTCACTTGCAGAATGCGCCGGCGGTTAATGCGATGTGTTACAAAATAACACTCTTATTTTGTACGTGCAGCGACGGATATGTGAAGGGGACATTGCGATTCTCCCTTTCTTTACAGTTTGTACGATGTCATTAGCCCGCGTGTATCTGGAAACCAGCTCAAGCCTCCAGTAAACCACGTGACTCCCCTTTCCCCCGCCGCCCCCTTTGAAAACAGACGCTGCTCCGTTGTTGTTTTTACAAAATCAACTTGAAACATCAACAGCTTAAATCACTCGTTGTTTTATTTTAAATGTATACTTGTAGGGCTGAGTTAAAAAAAAAACATATATATCCGATGTTCGTAGTTTTAAGGACACGAAAAAATATATATATGCGTGACGTCACCCTACTTTTTGGCGGGAAAAGTGCGTTTCGGAAGTCTCCTCACACCGCGTTCCTGGACGACTCCACTCCGGGTTTTCGGGTAAACTCAAAACAACAACTACAACAACAACACCACGAGGTCGTCAGAAAGTGTCGCGTCAGGGGCTAGAGCTTTGGCCATTTCCCCGCAAGTTTAATCCGAAAATCAGGGGCACCATTATTTTCAGACTCTTACCTCGGGTGGCTGTTTAGGAGGCTTCTACGGTGCGGTGAACAATCCCTGTTGCCTGTCTCCTGGCTATCGCCACGCTCTTGTTCGCTCGTCCCTGCCGCCTCCTCTCAACTAGGAGAGCGCCGATCTGCAGCTGGAGGAGCCTCTGGTATTGTGCTGGGTAAGGCCGTGCTGCTGCTGCTGCTAGCCACAACCCGCCTCCGTGTGCCGTGCCGGCCTCCGTGAAGTCTCGCTAACAGCACTTGGCCCAAACAGCAACGGCTTGTTTAGAGGCTCTAGGAGGGATCTTTGTACTGGGCATTGTCTTCGTTACATATTCAATAATTCCTGCTCAAGTAAGCTTTGAGGCGTTGGTGCACATCTGTATAGCAGTCCAGCTGAGGCGGTGGTGGAAATTCCACATTCATGGGTGGAGAAATGTTAACTCCCTCGCCTGGTGTACAGGAGGTCCTGGGTTCGATCGCAACCCTGACGCCTGCTGCTGCTGCTGCTGTATATTTGTAGTTTGCGTGTCGCTCTCGCCGTGCTCGCGTGGATTTTTCTTCGGGTCCTCCGGTTTTTCCCTCCGCATTTAGAAGCACGCGTTTCGAGTATTTGGCTGCTATACAATTCCACAAGCCACGAAGTTGAGCTATCAGTTGCCAGGTCGCTTCTGAAAGCAGCGATATAACTGAGTGGTCCTTACCTGGTAAAATAAAAAAAAACAGAGTACTGTATGTAACGGGGGACAGTCCATCCACAGAACAGATCTACACACAGTGGTACTCATCAGCTAGCAGCTATTAAGACACTTATACACGCTGTACAAGAGCATCCTTGTACGCGTGCAGAACCTACGTGTACCGGGTAGGCAAATTACTCGGTTGATTGGTGGGATATGTGTAAGTGCAGGGCCTGCACTGTGAGTGATGTCAGATGGCAACACTGGTGTATTGTAAGTAATGAAGTGTTTGGCAACAGGCTGACGTCAGTCGGCTAATGACCCCCCCCCCGCCAACCCCCACATGATGGTGACGCGGACCGCGGGAGCGAGTTCGCCGTTTGTTGCAGAAGTTTCGCGGGTCGAATCTGGCGGGCCGCCCTGGTTAATACTGTGGTCGTACTGCGTGTTGATCATAAACTACTATTGCACTACTACGTGCAAACGGTGGATGCTAAAGTTTATTTGAAGAGAGTAGGCCATTGTGTGCCGGTGTCACGGTCCAAATTTGCCAAATGTGAAACATTACTCCGCAAATCGCTGCTCAGTTGTGTATACACATGGCAACATCGCTCCCTAGAACACAGCAGCGCCTCGTGACGATCGCCTCGCATTGTAACAATGATGACGTTCAATGTACGAAACTCTTATTATTGCGGCGCACACTCTCACGGCCACCAACCTTGGCAAACGGGGGTGCTGGGCTGGTGCGAGGAGCTGATGGCGCTTCCCGCTCAAACGTAATTCACAAAGGACCACGGAGAGGAAATCGAAATAAGCTTGTACCAGAGGCCCCCTGTGCGGGCAGGCAGCTATGAAGTCACCTCTCTAAACCTCGATTGGTGGAGCAAGGGAACCCCACCACACCCGGGGGGGAGGGGGGTGGGACGTGGCCAAATGCTAGCTGAGGAGGAGAGGCTGCCAGAAATCTGTCGGTAGCTGGACCGGTGCTGCATGGTTCTGATGATGTGCCGTGCCAGTTTTCGTAGGTGCTCAGTAACAGCCCTTGTCCCAACATCCTGTTGAAGAATATATGGGGCTCTTTGAGTGTTTGTGTGAGTAGATGAATAGGTGGGTAGGTTTCATGGGTGAGAGATGAGGTGAGTTTACTTTTCCAAAGACTGATTCCAACGATTTTAGGATCATCATCTTTGGAAGGAGGCTTGTGAAGGACGCTACTTGGCAGTTGGAGGCAGTCAGTCACCCTCCAGAAATAGTGGAGGGCGGATGAACGACGCTCACAACAATGACCGGCGCACCGGGCAGCTAAAACGCAGAAAGTTGGCACAGTGGGGAGCGCAGGTAGTATATCTGCCATTCATTTCAGCCCTCTGGGGGCCCAGCTGTTGCATCAGCCAGTCATCTCAGTCAGTCAACCCATGGCACCTGGGTCTGTCCCGTGACCTGTCAGCGAGCCTCCGACACTTCACGCGGCCTCAAAGTCTACCTGGCCTGGCACAGCCGCAATGGTGACGTCGCCGTCACTTAGTAGCGAATAGCAGGTCTTGGTATTGATTAACTTCAGCACTTGCCCCAACTGCATGTGCAGGCTCTACGGGGTATCGTTTGTGCATGTGTAGGACGGTGTGTTCATGTATTAGTCTTTTTGTGTATTTGTGGGGTGCGATAGTGTAGCGGTGAGGGCGCTGTGCTACAAATCTGTTCACCCGAGTTCGATTCCCGCTCAAGGCCAACACCAGTGATGATTATCTGAACCAGTCCTGGGCCTCCTCTTGGTCGACTCAGCCTCAAATAAGTGCCTGGTGCGGTTGGTAAACATCGCCACTCGGGAGACAAAGGCGGCCGGGCGTGGTGCTGGCCATCCACCCCCTCGTGTACTGTTCCGGAATTCATAGGTGCTTGCTAACAGCACTTGCCCCAACAGTCTGTTAAGGTTATAATGGGGGATCCTTTCTCTTGTGTATTGCAGGATGATGTCTCTGCTGCTTATCCGATCTCCGTTTCTCTTCCTCGTGGTACTCGCGTTCACGCAGGAACTCTCCTTTACAGGTACCAACACATCATCATCACATCATCACTTCAACATTATCATCTTTAACAACACCATCACTACCATCGTCATGAACACTATCACCATAATCATCACCAACATGACATCATAATCATCGCGCCATGTTTACATCATTGCGTCACATGTTTGCATGTCACTGTGTCTGTATACACGTGTATATGCATACACATATCCTTGTATGTGCACGTGTCTCTGTACACATGGCTCTATGTACATGTGTCTGTTTGTGTACACGTGTCTATGTGTACACGTGTCCTTGTGTGCATGAGCTGCTTGCGTCCACCACTAACAGCACGTGACCACGCGCCCTAACATCGAATCAATTGCCTGACAGGCAATTAACTCCCCTCCACCTCCCTGTACTCACCGTAACTCGCCCTGCACAATTACCACTATCCCTGCGCCCTGCACAATGATCCTGCTGGAACTACGACCCTATCTCTGCATCCTGCACTGTAACCCTATCCCTGCACTTTGACCCTATCTATGCTTCGTGCATAGCGGCACTATCCCTGCACCCTGGAGGATGACCCTGCCTGCTGCACGCCTGCCCTGCCCCCGAGTTGGGAGGGAGGGAGCGAGCGAGCGAGACTAACAAGACCGAGGATGAGAAGAATTGAGGGGCTCTGCTTAACCCCGAGATCAATCCTGCTTCCCCTACTGCTACTACTACTATATTCACCTCATCAACATCATCAGTCAACAGCTACTACTATTTCAACCTTATCATCATCATACTACTCCAACTACCTATCGTCACCTCAACCTACTACTACCGATGCATCATCAACTTCCTCCTCTCCCTTCTCCCCACTGCTCATCCTCCTCCCCTCCTGCTGATCCCAAGAATGGCTCCCCCTCTTGCCTGCACGGCCGTGCCTCATGACCTGCCTGCCCCGCTCCTCACCCCTGACCCTCCAACGTGCGTAGCCCTCGGCCATCCTCGGGCCCCTTCCCCACGGGCCATCCGCCCCACAACCGACATCGCTCCCGCGTTCCCCCCCTCCCACATCTCTTCCTCCTCCACCTCGTCCCCGCCACCGCCCTGTTACCACCACCACCTCCTCATCGTCGTCTCCGGACTCAGCCGTCCGGTCAGGGCAGGGGTCCCGCGGCTCACCGGGGGGGTGCCGGAACGTCCTGCGGGCCCCGAGCGGGGGGTTCACATCCCCCGGCTACCCGTCGGCGTACCCGGCCAGCGCACGCTGCCGCTGGGAGCTGCGCGCGCCGCGGGGCTTCGTGGTGCAGCTCACGTTCAGCGACTTCCAGCTGGAGTCACAGGGCGGCTGCCTCTACGACAACATGACGCTGCTCGACAGCGACGGGCGCGCCCTTGGCACCTTCTGCGGCATCACGGCCAACCACCTGAGCGTGAACTCGACGGGCAGCTCGCTCACCGTGCTCTTCCATTCCGACTTCACGGTCTTCAAACGGGGGTTCAGTGCCGTCTACCGCCAAGGTATCCCACGGATCACCGGGGCGATTCGGATTCTTCTTCTGCTGCCGCTCCTCCTTCCCCATCTCCCGCCGCGTGTCATGGTGCGGCCGAGGCATGGGATGGGGCGCCCGTATCGGCGATGGGCGTCGTCAATGTGCGGGTGTCCCAACCGTCCAATTAATCAATCGTTATTCACATGAGTAAACTAAATAAATGAGCAGACCATACTCCTCCTTCCCATATCAGTTTCTCCACGTGCAAAAAAATCCACAAACACCCTTCTCCCCATATGTCCCGCCTCTGTGTCCATGTGCGTCAATGTGTCCCCCATGGCCCCCCTCACGTTCCCCGTGTAAGTGCCTCCTCTTCCTCGCGCGTCCACGCATTTCCGTGTGTACGCATGCCTCCGCGTGTCCTTGTGTGTCTCCCCTTCCCTGTGTGTCCCTGCGTGTCCTCATGTCCCCGCGTGTCCCCACCTGTCCCCACAGTGGCTAGCAACATGCTGAGTAGCAAGGCGCTGTTCAAGAATAACAGCCTGAATGAGACTGCGACGTCGCAGGGGATCCTGATAATCAAGGAGGCGTTGACGGTCTGCGTCAAACTTCGCGTCGCCGCAGAGGACATGAAGCCAAGGCAGTTGTCTACGGTGTTCTCCTACCAGAAAATAAAATATACAAATTATGCACTGGGCATGGACGTGGTGCTGTTGCCTCCTTCCCGTGTGGATTTTCATCTTAGCGGGTATATTTACGCCTTTTCAATTCCAGAAGGGAAACAATTGAGCGGAGGCCACTGGCACAAGCTGTGTGTGACGGCCAACACGAGCTCTATTTATTTTTTCCTCAATGGAACGTATGTTGGTCATTTAACATATAATCCGAGAAGTCCCTTGAGTGGAAATGGAAGCATCAGCGCCGCTCAAGCCACGACCACCTCCCAGGTTCCCGGGGGAGGCGCCGGCGCGCCGGCAACGACCACAGCGGGCAAAGTCAAGACCAACCACGGTAACACGAACGCGCCCGGTCAAATAAAAAAAACCCAACCCGGGGCCGACACCGGCATCGCAGACACCACCTCGAGCATCACCGCCGCTTCCAACACCTCCTCCTCCTCCGCTGCCGCCGTCAACAACAACAGCGCGTCCGTGCTGCATTCGTCGAGCCCGCTGGTGAATGCCGGAGGCATCCTGTACCTGGGCCGCGGGCAGAACCTGGACGGCACGTTGACGGGAGACAAGGCCTTCAAGGGGGAGCTGTACGCGTTCCGCCTGTGGGGCGAAGCCTTCAACGAGAGCGCCGTGGAGAGCGCCGACTGCGAGTCTCCGGGTGGCGCGCTCGTGGACTGGGTGGACACACACTGGAACTGTTCGCAGGACCTCCTCGTCGAGGACCACAACCTCCCGTGCGGTGAGGAGGTTGCATTTGCTGGGGCGGCGACCCGACCCAGGGTGGGCCGGGGGGGGGTCGGGGGGTAAACGTTTGAATTTGAGAGTAGCTTGAACCAGGTGAGGTGAACTCGTCCTCACCACAGAGCGTGGGGCGGGCCGTGCAGTGACTCGGCTCTCACCACAGAGAGGGACACTGTCGGGTGTTATGGTTGGGGCTTGTGGTTATGGTTTGTGTTATGGTTTGTGTTGTGGGTATTGTTTGTGTTTTTGCTTGTGTTTGTAAGTCTGCGGCTCTCCATGTAAGTCTGTGGGTCTCCATGTAAGTCTCTGGGTCTCCATGTAAGCCTGTGGGTCTCCATGCAAGTCTGTGGGTCTCCATGTAAGTATGTGGGTCTCCATGTAAGTGTTTGGGTCTGCATGTAAGCCTGTGGGTCTCCATATAACTCTGTGGGTCCCTATGTAAGTATGTGGGTCTCCACTTAAGTCTGTGGGCCTCCACGTAAGCCTGTGGGTCTCCACGTAAGCCTGTGGGTCTTCATGTAAGCCTGTGGGTCTCTATGTAAGCCTGTGGTTCTCCATTTAAATCTGTGGGTCTCCATGTAAGTCTGTGGGTCGCCATGTAAGTTTGTTGGTCTACACGTAAGCCTGTGCGTCTCCATGTAAGCCTGTGGGTCTCCATTTAAATCTGTGGGTCTCCATGTAAATCTGTGGGTCTCCATGTAAGTCTGTGGGTCTCCATGTAAGTCTGTGGGTCTCCATGTAAGTCTGTGGGTCTCCATGTAAGTTTGTTGGTCTACACGTAAGCCTGTGGGTCTCCATGTAAGCCTGTGGGTCTCCATGTAAGTCTGTGGGTCTCCATGTAAGTCTGTGGGTCTCCATGTAAATCTGTGGGTCTCCATGTAAGTCTGTGGGTCTCCATGTAAGTCTGTGGGTCTCCATGTAAGTCTGTGGGTCTCCATATAATTCTGGGTCTCCATGTAAGTCTGTGGGTCTCCATGTAAGTCTGTGGGTCTCCATGTAAGTCTGTGGGTCTCCATGTAAGTCTGTGGGTCTCCATATAATTCTGGGTCTCCATGTAAGTCTGTGGGTCTCCATTTAAGTCTGTGGGTCACCATGTAAGCTGCTTACACGACATTAACCTCTCATCAATGTCGTGCAGGGAACATGAGTGGCAACGGCTCCCAGCCCAAACCGACAGGTGAGTGAGACACGGCCATTGTGAACACACCACACAGTGTCTCCACTCTAGCACGGTCGCCAATGACGGCGGCTGTCTGCACGTAGTGTCTGTGTGTGTCTGTGTCGTGTCTTGTGGGGAGCGAAAGTGTAGCGGTTAGTGCGTTGCGTCACGAACCCGCCCACCCGGGCTCAATTCCCGCTCACGGCCAACATGAGTGACAGTTATCTGAACCGGTCCTCGGCCTCCCCTAGGTCGACTCAGCCTCAAATGAGTACCTGGTACAATGTGTAACCATGGCCACGAGGGAGACAAAAGCGGTCGGTCGTGGTGCTGGTCACCCACCCCGTCGTGTGCCGTGTTGGCCTTCATCAGTGCTGCTCGCTAATAGCACTTTTTCCCTAACAGTCTGTTAAGGCTACAAGGAGGACCTTTTTCGCCGTACTCATGGTGTGTGTATACACATGCGATGCCCTGCTGCTAAGTGATGTACGCCCGTGTGTCTGTGTGTGCAGGATCTGCACAAACGACGACATCGCACACCAATTGCACAGATGGCAATGGGTGCATCACTCGTGAGTCCCCTGACCTTTGACCCCTCAAGCATCCTTCAGAACCTTCAAGGGTCAAACTTCCATGGCCCAAAGTTAAATACCGAAAACAGTTTAACCGATTTCCCTTCGGTTATTTTGCAAAGGTTAGAGTTTGTGAGTATCACAGATCAACAATGGCCGCTGTTTACCACTATCATGTGAAGTGTCGGAGGCTCGCTGCTAGCAGGAGGTCATGGAGCAGACCCAAGTGCCATGGGTTGACTGACTGAGATTACTGCCAGATGCACCACCTGTGCTTGCCACTGTGCCAACTCGCTGAGTTTTAGCCGCCCGGCGCTACACTCTTTGTGACCGTTGCTACTCCGCCCTCTGCTGTTGTAGTTTCCTCCACAGATCTCTACCTAATCCACCAACCCTTGCTGCCACAATGCGGGATCACAGGCCCATCACAATCACTATCACCACCAACACTACCGCCACCATCACCATTATCGCTCGCCGTGACAACCATCATCACCAGGACCATCAGCGCCATCATCATGATTACGCTGTCTGTGCTCTCCAGGTCCCAATCCCTACATCCCGACCTTCGAGGAGATCAAGAACATGAACATCACAGCTGGTGAGTATCCTCACCCATACATCTCCTCACCTCACCAACAGCAGCAACAGCTGTCATGGCCACTCTTCTTCTTTTCTTTCGTATGGCATTTTTGGGGATTGAAACACATTACAAATTGATGTCGAGATTTGATACCCATTCGATTGCTTCAGGAGTAGCCACGTTAATTTGTTTCAGATCGCCGTTGAATGATCTGATTAGGCAATTGTTCAATTCTCCACTAAGTGGCAGTGACGTCACCATGGTGCTTGTGCCAGGCCAGGTGCACTTTGAGGCCACGTGAAGTTTCCAATGCTTGCTGACGAGGTTACAGGACAGACCCAGCTGCCATAGGTTGACTGAGAGTGAGTGGCAGATGCACCAGATGTGCCAACTTGCTGAATTTTATCCGCCCGGCGCTCCACTCGTTGTGAGCGTCGCTCTTTTGTCCTCTATTGTTAGAGGGCGACTGCCTCCAACTGCCCAGTAGTGTCCTTCACAAGCCTCCTTCCAAAGAGGCCGATCTTGACATCACTGTAACCAGTCTTCAGCAAATCCACTCAACTCCACATCCTCCTGTACTGCATCAATCCATATCTTCTCTAGCCCATGCGACGCCCATATAGCCCCCTCTATCCAGCCAAACAGAAGCTGCTTGGGTATGCGATGGCTGGTGAGGAGGTCCAGATCTGGAACTCCTCACCAACAACTCCATCACCAAGATTAAGGCCCACCCACTTAATCACGCACGTCCGCACCCACCCATTCACCCATGCATCTAAAATGGGCTCAATTAGGCGCACACAACTCCTTGGGAGGCAACACTATTTATTCTTTAACACAACATCGTATAACATAGGGTGGTAACCACCGACCTATTCTGTCTAACACACACCAGCACTCTCTACATACAGACTTTCGGATACACTAGCGCGACTCAGCCAGGAGGGCTACTGGCTGGTCCGCTCACTGGAGGCTTGACTCTTCTCTTGGGATGTCTTCACAATGCCACTTCTATTCTTGACACAAACAGCCCCGAACATAAAGATGAGGCCGCTTATATGGGCCTCGGCGTGTCTGGGCTCCACCCCGATCACGCCTTCCTTAGAGAACCCTCTCCGAAACCCCTCGGCTGTCCACGTGCCCCCTAAGGTGCCCCCCGGGCCCCCGGCCCACACCGGGTTTCGGTCACGTGTCCGGCCGGGTTCACACAGTGCCACGGCCTCACATCCCACCCCCTGTGGCCTCACCCCCGGCCTCCCGAGTCCTCAACCAGCCCTGACGTCATTCCCGCCTCCAGACGAGATGACGTCACGCGTGTGTGTGCGCGGAGACCCGCGGGGTTGTGACGCTCCCCCGCATAGTGACGTCACACGTGTGCGCGTGTGTATACATCCAGTAGTTACGCTGCCAGCCACATCACATCCACTCACTCTCTTGCCTACCCTCCAACCCACTCAATCACCCACTCGCCTAGGCCTTCCCCCACTCACTCTACCAACTAACTTACCCACTTGCTCGCTCACGCACCGACTCGCCCACGCTTAACGCGTGCGTAGCGAGTAACCTTGATATGCGACATTGTGCTGCTCATGGGCGACGCGTGTGACGCGTGACGGTGTGCTGCGTGTAGACAACGTGTATGACGTCGCCCAGGCGCTGTACGCTCGCACGCAGAAGACAGGCGCCCAGTTCAACCAGGAGCAGCTGCAGATCACGGTGGACACCCTGCAGCGCGCCTTGCAGGTGCGCATCGCAACTCGCGCAGCGCAACGCACGTCGTCCCCACGCAGCTCACTGTCACGCGGGAGCGGTGGCGCAGCGGTTAGCGCACTGCGCTACGAACCCCGGTGACACGAGTTCGATTCCCGCTCACGGCCAACGCCGGTGACAATGATCTCAACCGGTTCTGGGCCTCTCCTAGGTTGACTCAGCCTAGAATGTGTACCTGGTGCTGTGTGTAAAGATCGTACCGTGCCGGCCTTTATAGGTGCTTGCTAGCAGCACTTGCTTTAAAAGACTGATTAGGCTATATGGGGGATCTTCATCTTGTTTTGTTGTATGTGTAGGGGTGATTGTCACTCACCACTCTGCAGGCTGGATAGATTCCCCTTATCATCAATAGGGGGCAGCGGCGTTACCACGCCAAGGCAAATGTCCATGGCCCAACAAGGGGCCAACGACAAATCCCAGCAAACGGATCCTGGGACACATTCCCCAGGGCCCCGGGAGGGGGGAACCGGGGGATGATGTCACCTTCCAGAATGTTCCAGAAGGACGGCGTGGCTAGGGCGGAGCAAGCCACGAACCAGTATATAAGCCAGACCTTTCAGATGTCTGGCTCAGTTATCTGCAAGCTGAAGAACAAAGACCTGGGCTGAAGATAGGACTCTGGACTCCAAGCTCCGATGTCCTTCTAAGGGCCGGAGCTCAGTGAAGCCAGTGGTCAGGACCCACGGACCAAGAGAGTCGGGTCAGATAGCCTCCCCTAGGTCCCAGCCGGAGGACGATAGGGAGCGGGTTACCCAGTGATAGGGCCCGTATAGTCCAGAGGCCATACTTCCCAGGCATTGGGTAAAGGGACCGATTTATCCTTTGTGTTGGAGACCTTGTAGAAAAGACAATAAATATTCTGTTGCCTCATTAGAAGTTTATTCGTCAATATATACCCGGTACATATGTATAACGGCTGCGTAACGCTGTGTGCAAGCTACCTAGTCTGTCACTCCACACGAAGTTCCAAGTATTTTTATATTTGTGTACCGTGGATACCTCTAAAGGAACATGTGCCAGTTTGAAACATTCAGGCTGGCCTGACTACGCTCCATTCTGAGTTTAACCAGGCTGGATTGTGTGAGGAGCTCACAGATCCTTTAAAGATGTGCACATAGTCCCATCTCATGAGCTCCCTGGCATTTGTGTCTGCGTTAGCTGGGTCATGTAGCCCACATGCCCAGCCACCGCATGTGCAAGCAACTTGTGTTTTACCAGATAGAGAGTGGTAAACTGACGCAGCACAGGGTAGAGAAGAGATGAACGGATGTGGTACAGGAGGATGTGGAACTGAGTATACTTGTCGATGACTGGTCTCAGCGGTGTCAAGATCGGCCTCTGTGAAGTAGGCTCGTAAAGAATGCTACTGGGCAGTTGGAGGCCTTCAGGAGCAAAGCGCCGGGTGGCTAAAATGCAGAAAGTTGGCACAGTGGGTAGCACAAGTGGTGCATTTTGCAGTCATTTCAGTCAGTCAACTCATAACACCTTGGTCTGTGCCCATGACCTAGCCTTACAAAAGCGCCGTGGTGACTTTACTGCCACTTTGTTGCGAATGGCAAATGTTGATGTGTGTAGGTGTGTGTATAATGGAATGTGTCTGTGTGTGTGCTCAGGTTGGCCTCGTGCAGTCGAACTTGGCCTCGACTATGTTGGGAGTCATCAGTAACATGATGGACGCACAGGACAGCGAGCTGGCTGCCGTGGCAACCAAGTGAGGGAGTGGGGAGATGGGGGCCGGAGGGTAGTGGGGGGGAGCAATGTTGGCAGTCAGATGTAGACAGGCATGGGGAGCAGTGGTGCAGTGGGATTTCTAGAATGATGATAATGTTGCAGCAGGGTCAATTCGAACGTTTAACGATTGTGTGCGGATGTTCCACTGGTTGTTACAACCGTTGTTAAAACCGGCATCGTTAGTAATGGCCGGCATCATCAGGAAATCACCTGATGATGCCGGCCATTGCTAACGTGCATATTTGGCCTCCTCTTCCACGCTGGAGAGACGAATTAAAAGTTCTGCTGAGCCTTTCCTACAACCGACTCCGCCTTAAATTAGTACCGTGTGCGGTGTTTAAAGGTCAGCACTGGGGAGACAAGGACGGCCTGGTGTGGTACTGGCCACCACCCCCCCCGTGTGCCGTGCATGGCCTTTCATAGGCTACCGCTGCCGGCCCTAACCTAAACACTTAGTAAGGCTACAGGGGAGATCTTCATTCTCTTTGTAGGGTCCTCGGATCTTCCCAGTGCTAATCCCCCCCCCCTCTCTCCCCCGTGCCCCCCTCCCCCACCAGGACGCTTCATACGGTGGACTCGTTGAGTCTGAGTCTGAATGTGTCGGGGAACATGAGCGTGTGGGCCACACACCTGCTACTGGCAGTCGCCGAATCACAGCCCGTGGGGCCCCCACGACCTATCTTCTTTGGAGTGGGGCCCCAGAACCAGCAGAGCCAGGTCTGTATGTGTGTACTGTGCGTGTGTGTACTGTGTGTGTGTACTGTGCGTGTGTACTGTGTGTGTGTACTGTGCGTGTGTGCTCTGTGTGTGTGTGCGTGCTTTGTGTGTGTGTACTGTGTGTGTACTGTGTGGGTGTACTGTGCGTGTGTGTACTGTGCGTGTGTGTACTGTGCGTGTGTACTCTGTGTGTGTGTGTGCGTGCTTTGTGTGTGTGTACTGTGCGTGTGTGCTCTATGTGTGTGTGTGCGTGCTTTGTGTGTGTGTATACTGTGTGTGTGTGTACTGTGTGTGTGTACTGTGCGTGTGTGCTCTGTGTGTGTGTGTGTGTGCTTTGTGTGTGTGTACTGTGTGTGTGTACTGTGTGTGTGTACTGTGCGTGTGTGCTCTGTGTGTGTGTGCGTGCTTTGTGTGTGTGTACTGTGTGTGTACTGTGTGTGTGTGTACTATGTGTGCGTGCTTTGTGTGTGTGTACTGTGTGTGTGTGTACTGCGCGTGTGTGCTCTGTATGTGTGTGTACTGTGCGTGTGTGCTCTGTATGTGTGTGTACTGTGCGTGTGTGCTCTGTGTGTGTGCTCTGTGTGTGTGTGCGTTCTTTGTGTGTGTGTACTGTGTGTGTGTACTGTGCGTGTGTGCGTGCTTTGTGTGTGTGTACTGTGTGTGTACTGTGTGTGTACTGTGCCTGTGTGCTCTGTGTGTGTGTGTGCGTGCTTTGTGTGTGTGTACTGTGTGTGTACTGTGTGTGTACTGTGTGTGTGTGTACTGTGTGTGTGTACTGTGTGTGTGTACTGTGCGTGTGTGCTCTATGTGTGTGTGCGTGCTTTGTGTGTGTGTACTGTGTGTGTGTACTGTGAGTGTGTGCCGTGTATGCCATGTATCAGTTGCCATGTGTCTGTGCTGTGTGTATGCTCTGTTTTGTGTGTGTACTGTGTGTGTCCTGTGTTTGTCACTGCTGACGGAATGGCTTCCACTAGAGCGCCTCTCTAGACTGTATTTGGCCTCATTCTCACTGGCCAGACGACTTGGAAGAGGCAGGAGTACCCTCAATGGTGCTGGAAATCTCTAGGTAAACTCAAATGAGTACCTGGTGCAATGTGTAAACATCGCCGCCGGGGAGACAAAGGCGGCCGGGTATGTTGCTGGCCACCCACCCCCTCGTGTGCCGTGCCGGCCTTCATAGGTGCTTGCTAACAGCACTTGCCCCAACAGTCTGTTAAGCTGAATGGGGGATCTTTGTCTTTGTATTGGTTTGTATTGGGAGTGGTGGTGCAATAATTAGTGGACTATGCTACGGACCCAGCGACCCAAGTTCGATTCACGCTCACGGACAACATCGGTGACGAATATCTGAACTGGCCCCGGGTCTCCCCTAGGTCGACTCGGCCTTAAATTAGTACCCGGTGCGGTGTGTAAACGTCAGCGCTCAGGAGACAAAGGTGGCCAGGCACGGTGCTGGTCATCCACTCGCTCGTGTGCCGTGGCGATCTTCACGGGTGCTCGCTAACAGCACTTGCCTCCAACGATCCGTTCAAGGCTACACGGGGGATCTTTGTTTTTGTAGGATGTGATCAGCCATGAGCTGTCGAGCAACTTGCAGATGTGGGTGCAGCTACCGGCCGCGCTGCTGCAGAGGCACAACAGCAGCCGAGCTCACTTCAACCTGTACAGCAAGACGGGCGGCCTCTTCCCCGTAAGTCACTCACTCACTCTCGCTCACTCTCATACTCGCACGCTCACTGGCACACGTACACACGCACAAATGAATCCATACACACGTTGACTCAGGCTCACAATGGCCGACTCAGCCTCACGACCCCTTGCCCAACCATGACCCCATACCGCCACGATGACCCCCGTGACCCTTATGATCCTGTGACCCGTTGACCCTTATGTCGCTGTGGCCCACGTGACCACCCGTGCCCTGTGCCCGCTGTGATCCCGTGCAGGCCCCGGGCCTGGTGAGCCCCGTGATAGCGGCGACGATCGGCAACGAGAGTCTGGTGAACCTGACGGAGAACGTCACCGTCTCACTCTCCTACAACGTCAGCAAGGCCACTGGGGTGAGCACCCCCGCAACAACAGTCGCAGAGCAACACTCGCTCGCAACACTCGCTCATAACACTCGCTCATAACACTCACGCATCACTCGCTCGCAACACTCGCTCGCAACACTCACGCATCACTCGCTCGCAACACTCACGCATCACTCGCTCATAACACTCACGCAATACTCACGCATCACTCGCTCGCAACACTCACGCAACACTCGCTCATAACACTCACGCAACACTCACGCAACACTCACGCAACACTCACGCAACACTCGCTCGCAACACTCGCTCATAACACTCACGCAACACTCACTCATAACACTAACTCGCAACACTCGCTCGCAACACTCACGCAACACTCGCGCATCACTCGCTCGCAACACTCACGCATCACTTGCAGAGCAATAACAACACTCACTCGCTCTGTCCCCTTCTCCTCACTGTGCCCCTGCCCCCCACAGATGTCATACAAGTGTGTCTTCTGGAACTTCAACAAGAACGGTGAGTGGGGTGGGGGGGTCGGCAAACACCTTCACCAACCGCACTGTACGAGAGGCACTCGCAAAATATCTCCTCTGATCTCTATCTGTCTGTCTCTGCTCTGATCTCTGTCTGTCTCTGCTCTGATTTCTATCTGTCTGTCTCTGCTCTGATCTCTGTCTCTGCTCTGATCTCTACCTGTCTGTCTCTGCTCTGATCTCTATCTGTCTGTCTCTGCTCTGATCTCTATCTGTCTGTCTCTACTCTGATCTCTATCTGTCTGTCTCTGCTCTGATCTCTATCTGTCTGTCTCTGCTCTGATCTCTATCTCTCTGTCTCTGCTCTGATCTCTATCTGTCTGTCTCTACTCTGATCTCTATCTGTCTGTCTCTACTCTGATCTATATCTGTCTGTCTCTGCTCTGATCTCTATCTGTCTGTCACTACTCTGATCTCTATCTGTCTGTCTCTACTCTGATCTCTATCTGTCTGTCTCTACTCTGATCTCTATCTGTCTGTTTCTACTCTGATCTCTATCTGTCTGTCTCTACTCTGATCTCTATCTGTCTGTCTCTACTCTGATCTCTATCTGTCTGTCACTACTCTGATCTCTATCTGTCTGTCCCTACTCTGATCTCTATCTGTCTGTCTCTACTCTGATCTCTATCGGTCTGTCTCTGCTCTGATCTCTATCTGTCTGTCTCTGCTCTGATCTCTATCTGTCTGTCTCTGCTCTGATCTCTATCTGTCTGTCTCTACTCTGATCTCTATCTGTCTGTCTCTGCTCTGATCTCTATCTGTCTGTCTCTGCTCTGATCTCTATCTGTCTGTCTCTGCTCTGATCTCTATCTGTCTGTCTCTACTCTGATCTCTATCTGTCTGTCTCTACTCTGATCTATATCTGTCTGTCTCTACTCTGATCTCTATCTGTCTGTCTCTGCTCTGATCTCTGTTTGTCTGTCTCTACTCTGATCTCTATCTTTCTGTCACTACTCTGATCTCTATCTGTCTGTCCCTACTCTGATCGCTATCTGTCTGTCTCTACTCTGATCTCTATCGAATTGTCTCTGCTCTGATCTCTATCTGTCTGTCTCTACTCTGATCTCTATCTGTCTGTCTCCACTTTGATCTCTATCTGTCTGTCTCCACTCTGATCTCTATCTGTCTGTCACTACTCTGATCTCTATCTGTTTGTCTCTACTCTGATCTCTATCTGTCTGTCTCTACTCTGATCTCTGTCTGTCTCTACTCTGATCTCTATCTGTCTGTCTCTACTCTGATCTCTACCTGTCTGTCTCTGCTCTGATCTCTATCTGTCTGTCTCTGCTCTGATCTCTATCTGTCTGTCTCTACTCTGATCTCTATCTGTCTGTCTCTGCTCTGATCTCTATCTGTCTGTCTCTGCTCTGATCTCTATCTCTCTGTCTCTGCTCTGATCTCTATCTGTCTGTCTCTACTCTGATCTCTATCTGTCTGTCTCTACTCTGATCTATATCTGTCTGTCTCTGCTCTGATCTCTATCTGTCTGTCACTACTCTGATCTCTATCTGTCTGTCTCTACTCTGATCTCTATCTGTCTGTCTCTACTCTGATCTCTATCTGTCTGTTTCTACTCTGATCTCTATCTGTCTGTCTCTACTCTGATCTCTATCTGTCTGTCTCTACTCTGATCTCTATCTGTCTGTCACTACTCTGATCTCTATCTGTCTGTCCCTACTCTGATCTCTATCTGTCTGTCTCTACTCTGATCTCTATCGGTCTGTCTCTGCTCTGATCTCTATCTGTCTGTCTCTGCTCTGATCTCTGTCTCTGCTCTGATCTCTACCTGTCTGTCTCTGCTCTGATCTCTATCTGTCTGTCTCTGCTCTGATCTCTATCTGTCTGTCTCTACTCTGATCTCTATCTGTCTGTCTCTGCTCTGATCTCTATCTGTCTGTCTCTGCTCTGATCTCTATCTGTCTGTCTCTGCTCTGATCTCTATCTGTCTGTCTCTACTCTGATCTCTATCTGTCTGTCTCTACTCTGATCTATATCTGTCTGTCTCTACTCTGATCTCTATCTGTCTGTCTCTGCTCTGATCTCTGTTTGTCTGTCTCTACTCTGATCTCTATCTTTCTGTCACTACTCTGATCTCTATCTGTCTGTCCCTACTCTGATCGCTATCTGTCTGTCTCTACTCTGATCTCTATCGAATTGTCTCTGCTCTGATCTCTATCTGTCTGTCTCTACTCTGATCTCTATCTGTCTGTCTACACTTTGATCTCTATCTGTCTGTCTCCACTCTGATCTCTATCTGTCTGTCACTACTCTGATCTCTATCTGTTTGTCTCTACTCTGATCTCTATCTGTCTGTCTCTACTCTGATCTCTGTCTGTCTCTACTCTGATCTCTATCTGTCTGTCTCTACTCTGATCTCTATATGTTTGTCTCTGCTCTGATCTCCATCTGGCTGTCTCTGCTCTCATATCTCTATTTGGTTGTCTCTGCTCCAATGTATCTTTGTTTCATTGCTGTTCATTGTTTTCCGTTATCGATTTAATCATTGAAGTGACCCAGCCTCCTTCTTGCGAATGAGAATCCTGTCCAGCTAACTCATGAAAAAAAAAAATATTTTTTCATACTTTGATATTGGCAAAAAGCTCCCACTCCACATAGCTCACATACCCCCCCCCACCATCCTCTGCGCCCCCCCCCCCTGCCCTCTAGGAGGTCCCGGGTGGAGCCAGGATGGATGTGAGGTCATCAGTTCTAACGCCAGCCAGACCACGTGCAGCTGCAACCACCTCACCCACTTCGGCATCCTGCTGGTGAGCAGGTGCCCGTCTGCCCGCACGAGCGCCAGGGGTCCGCGAGCGCCCACCGAGCAACCTGCCCGCGTTTGGTCTGCGCTGGAGACAGCCGTTACCCTGTCCGCGTGTACGAGGTCGTAGGGGCGGCACCGGGGTCACGCGGGGGTGGGGGGGGGGGCAAGGCTTCAGGGTTAGCAGTTTGGGTGTGGAGGTCGGACGGGGGTTTGCGGAGCCTGGGATTATGAGGGCCCCCCCCCGCCACACAATGTAATCCAATTTGGAGTGAGTTTCCACTGCTCAAATCGGCATAGAGGTTTTGGTGCTCATCTCCCGCTTGAAGCCCTGCAGAGCCAGTGGTGGAAATTCCTCATTCCGGTGGCAGGTGCAAGTCTGTTGTCCATAAGAGAAGCACTTTTGATCTTCTTGACAGTCCTGATTTTATCGACCCTGGAGGGAGGAAGGGACTTGGATTACATTGTGTTGGCTGAGCCAACCCACCCCCACCTCCAACCAAGATGTAAACTTCGCGAAATTCCGCTTGCTATGAGCCGCTCGCTCTCGCTCCGAGCAGCCACGCGGGCGGTTTGAGCGCTCGTTAGGGCAATGAGCGGACGCTGCCTGTACACTGTACACTGTATAGAACACTGACGTTGCACAGCGTAGTCAACAGCCCTTCAACCAGCAGTGACGCCATTGCAGGGCCACGCCTTTACCTCGGACGCGGTTTTCGTTGCTGTTTGTGACACTGTGTGTGCCTCGAGTGACGGCCTTCATAGGCGCTGCTCGCAAACAGCATTTGCCCCAACAGTCTGATAACGCTATACGCGGGATCTTTGTCTTTGCCGCGTGTGACGCAGCAACTCAACGACGACCCCACACCTAAGGAGGACGAGATGGCACTGACGTTCATCACCTACATCGGCTGCGGAGTGTCCTCCATCCTGCTCGCCATCACCCTGCTCACGCACATCGCCTTCGAGTGAGGCCCCATCACGCACATGTACACACATCATATACAAACCATCACGCATTGACACGTACACACACATCATACACTCACATCACGCAACACACCCACCATCGCTGTTCATCTTCTTGGTTCTTTCGGTAAAGTCAGTAGAATGGAGATAAAAATAAAACTCAAACATAATAAAATAAAAATTCTCACGATGTTTCGGCCACAACACAACTAGCCTTCTTCAGGTGAAGGAACAGAAACTGTCAAGAAGACAGCACTGTCCTGTTTCTTCACCTGAAGGAGGCTACTTGTGTTGTGGCCGAAACATCGTGAGAATTTTTATCTTATTTTATTATGTTTTAGTTTTATTTTTATCTCCATTCTACGTGACTTTACCGAAAGAACCAAGAAGATGAATCCCTGCAGTCACGAAAGCTTTAAATCGAAATTTACCATCGCTGTTGTTGAATGGCGACTGCCTCCAGCTGCCAGTAGCGTCCTTCATGAGCCTTCATCCAAAGAGGATCACTTAGCTCCACATCCTCCTGTACTGCATCAGTTCCATCTCATCTCCAACCCGTGCCACTATTATCTATCCCCATCGATCCAGCCAAAAAGCTGCTTGGGCATGAGGTGGCTGGGCATGCGGGAAACATTACCCAGCGGAAGCAGCCTCGCCTGCAGGAGAAGTTCACTGATGGGACTGTGTCCAGATCTTTCAAGGATCTGTGTGCTCCTTACACAAGCTTGGTTAAACCCAGGATGGATCGTAGGCAGGCCAACCTGAATGTTTTAAACTGGTTCGGATGTTTCTCCATTAGAGGGGTCCACATCTCGCAAGCATAGAGCAACGAGGGCTTTACTGTGGCCGAGAAGATCCGAAGGTTTGTGTGGAACTGGTCACATAGTTTCCACACAGCGTTGCGCAGCCGATTAAAAGATAACGCCATTCGATTAATTCGGGGTGAGAACTGTGTTGGCAAACGGGAGCTGGTCATAATTACACTGCCCAGGTACTACACCCACACACACCGTGCCCTCACCTCCTGCCACCCCCCCTTACCCCCACCGAAACCCATCGTCACGGCCAACAGGAAGTTGCGGCGAGACTTCCCGTCGCGCATCCTCATGAACCTGTGCGCGGCGCTCCTGCTGCTGAACCTGGTGTTCCTGCTGGACCCGTGGCTGGCCTCGCTGGCCATACCAGGCCTGTGCGTGGCTGTGGCGGCGCTGCTGCACTACGCGCTGCTCGCCTCCTTCACGTGGATGGGCCTCGAGGCGCTGCACATGTACATCGCCCTCGTCAAAGTGTTCAACACCTACATCCGCAGATACATCCTCAAGTTCTGCATCGCCGGATGGGGTGAGGGTGCACGTGGGTGAGGGTGCACTGGGGTGTGGGGGTGCAGGGTGCAGGCTGAGGGTGCAGGCTGAGGGTGCAGGCTGAGGGTGCAGGCTGAGGGTGCAGGCTGAGGGTGCAGGGTGAGAGTGCAGGGTGAGAGTGCAGGGTGAGAGTGCAGGGTGAGAGTGCAGGGTGAGAGTGCAGAGTGAGAGTGCAGGGTGAGAGTACAGGGTGCAGGGTGTGTTCACCATGCACGGGGTCACCGTGTGTGTACGTGTGTTCACTCTGTGTGTGAGTGTTCACAGTGTGTGTGCATGTTCACCGTGTGTGTGCATGTGTTGACCGTGTGTGCGCGTGTTGACCGTGTGTGCGCGTGTTCACCGTGTGTGCACGTGTTCACTGTGTGTGTTCAGGGATCCCGGCGGTGGTCGTAAGTCTGGTGCTCGCGATCCAGAAGGATATATACGGACTCGTAGCGTACTCGCGCTCCACCAACTCCACACAAGACTCATTGTGAGTCCCACTTGGGGCAGTCTGTGACCCCGAGCCACTATCCCTATCGCAAACACCGAACCCATAACCTTGAACCCTATCGCTAACCCCCAACTCATAACCCTTAACCCTAACGCTAACCCCTAATCACCAACCCGTAACCTCAAATGCTATCGCTAACCCCCAACTCATAACCCTTAATCCTAACGCTAACCCCTAATCACCAATCCATAACCTCTAAACCTATCGCTAACCCAACCCAAAACCACTAACCCTATCACTAACCCCAACCCATAACCCAAACCCTATCGCTAACCCCAAACCCATAACCCCTATCACTAAACACCTATTCCTATTGCTAAGCCCGAATACCTAACCCATCACTGTTAACTCCTATTGCTATCGCTAACCCTAATCCCTAGTCCACAACCCCTAATCCCAATTGCTAAACCCTAACTCCTAACCCCTTTCCCTTACATTAACCCCTTATCCTATCTCTGACTCTTAACACTAACCCCGACCCCATGACCCTCTATCCCCAAACCCTATCTCCAACCCGTTTCCTAACCCCTATTCTTGAATCCCTATCCACGAAAACCTATTATTCCCATTCCCCTAGCCCCTGTCCACTATCCCAAGTGATTATAATGGGATCAGCGATAGCCTTCCTGTGTATGGCAGCGTCATCCGTGCAGATTCGGACGACGTGTGCCGCCAGTCGATCGCCTGACCTCTGCGGTCCTATTTCCGGATGGACCTTTCGCCTCCTAATTACCCCCCCCCCGCCCGGCCGGTGTCTCCCCTCCTCCTCCCACCCCCTCCGCACCCCCCGCAGCTGCTGGTTCCGGCACAACGGCGACGCAGCGTTCTACGTGACGGTGGTGGCCTTCCTGGGCGTGGTGCTCTGCATCAACCTGGCCATGTTCGTCGTGGTGCTCGTGCAGATCTGCAGCATGAAGAGCTCGCGCGGCGCCGCCGGCGACTGGCGCTCCGACGTGCTGCGCGACCTCAAGGGCTCCGTGTCGCTCACCTTCCTGCTGGGCCTCACCTGGATCTTCGCCTTCTTCGCGTGGGGCCCCGCCAATCTGCCCTTTATGTACCTCTTCTGCATCCTCAACACGCTGCAAGGTGCGGCGGGCGCTGGCGCGAGATGCGGGTGCCTCTACCCACCCGCCCCGGTTGGCGTGCTGTGCTTTAAAGCCGGCCGGTGGACTTGCAGCCAGCGCGGCCTCCCCCTAGGTTGATTCGGCCTTAAAATTAGCGCCTGGTGTGATGTGTACCCAACATCAGCACTGTACGTCGAAATTATTTCGCACCGCGCGCAGCCAACCATGCTAACCGGAGCAATGGGGCGAAGATAAAGGTGGCATGGGGGGGTGGCGCTGGCGCTGGCGCTGGCGCTGGCTCCGGCCACCCACCGCGTCGTGTGACGTACCGGCCTGCATTGGTGCTGCTTGCTAGTCAACACTTGGCCCAATAGAGCGTTAAGGCCACACGAGTGATCTTTGTACGTGTGTGTGTGTGTGTGCGTGTGTGTGTGTGTGCGTGTACCCCGGACAGGAACATTCATCTTCGTGTTCCACTGCGCCATGAAGGAGAATGTGCGCAAGCACTGGCGCCGCTACCTGTGCTGCGGCCGCTGCCGTCTGCCCGACAACTCCGGTGAGATGATGGCCAGGTGTCGCCGATGGCGCTAAGCTAAGCCTCGCATGCGGTAAACAATTGAAGGCGCCAGAACAAAGAAGAATGAATGAGACTGAATTCATTATTGAGAGTGAATGGTGGAGAAAGAAGTAATGAATGCCATGAAATGAATGGAAACGGTGAATGCATGGCTAATGCTTGACAGAGCGTAAAAGGTGAGTGACTGAATGGACAGTGAGTGAGTGAACGAATGAAAAGTGAGTAAAGCGGCAACAATGAATGATTCTCTCTCTCCTCCCTCCCGCTGCATGCAGACTGGAGCCGCACGGGAACGAACTACACGAAGAAGCCGGGAGGCAACCAGGTGACCAAGTCGATGTCCAGCAACTCGACCAACTCGAGCCAGGTGTCCACGGGGCCCAGCAGCTCCTCGCAGAGCTGCCTCGTGGTGCCACGCCGCAAGAGCAGTGCGTCATGCCAACACGTGCACAGCAACACAGGCGCAGTAACACACGCTAACGCACGCGCCAAAACACGCTAACACACGCGCACTCACCAACACGCCCTAACACACACGCTAACAAGCATGACGAAAACACACACGAACGCGCGTGCATAACACACGCGTGCAACACCGACCGCTGACGCCGCTGTCTCCGTCCCCCCGCACGCCACCGTGCGTTGCAGATGCCGTGCGCTCGGAGCCCTCGTCCACCATGTACGACAACGGGGAGCCCGTGTACAGCAGCATCGAGGAGAGTACCGGCAGCGGTGCCGGCCAGCACGGCCAGCCCCTGGCGCACCTGCCCAGGGGGGGCGGCACGAGCTAGCCGACCACGCCACACAACCGCCACTTCCCTCCCCTTCGCGCCTCCTCCACATCCTCCTCCCAGCCACTCGTCCCCGCGCCCTCCTAGGATCTTGTAAATATCATTGTCATCCTCACAATCGTCATCGTCACGATCGTTGTAGTCGCTTTCGTCCTCACGCCTCCTGCCGTGCGTGCGCGTGTCGGGTGGAGAGGCGGTTGGCACGCTGCGCTACGAACCCAGCGGCCCAAGTTCCGATTTCTGCTAATGGCCACCAACACCGGTGGCGAATATTTTAACCGGTCCAGGGCCTCGCCTAGGTTGACTCAATTGAATACCTGGCGCAGTGTGCAAATATCAGTAATGGGGAGACAAAGGCGACCGAGCGTGGTGCTGGCCATCTACCGCCTGGTGTGCCGTTTGCGGCCCCACCGGTTGATAGAGGCCCGACGGGGGACCGCGTGTCGGGGCACCGGCGGCTCAAACTCCACCGCCGACCGGGAAATCTGCGTGGCTCTAGGGGGGGGGGGGGTCCGGCTAAGGGAAGCGGATGGAGGACTTGTTAGGACTGGTTAGGGGGTCTGGCTGTCTGGGGGGGGTCTGGCCAGCAGACTCCCCGGTGCCTCGCAGAGGTCATGGCCCACGGCCCAGGGTTCGTGTAGGACGGTGCCGCACGGAGAGACGGTGCTGGGAGCCACGGGGACGGTGCCGGGCAAGCCACACCCCCTGCGGCACAGCCGAGGGAGGGAGCAGGGTTACACCGGACTCGTGAACTGGGTTTGAGTTGAGCCGTGGTGTCGGTGTCGAATGTGCTTTGTGCGTGTGTCTGTGTACACGTGTGCGAGTGTGTGCCATGTCTCTGTACATATCGTCCGTCTATTTATTTGTGAAAAATGGCCACGGTTTCCGGGCTAGAGCTTCTCTCACACCGAGCGGGATTCCTCTCCAGGGTGTCTGCAACTTCCACAATCACTCTTCCATGTCCGTGATCACTCTTCATTGTCTACGATCACTCTTCAATGTCTGTGATCACTCTTCAGTGGCTGTGATCACTCTTCAATGGCCATGATCACTCTTCAATGGCCATGATCATTCTTCAGTGTCCACGATTGTTCACCCAGGTCGGTCGTGACCAGTACGTGTATCAGCCGGACTGGGAAGCGGGATGTACCCATCTAATAGCATGCGTGACCATCGGTTATTCACAGTTCATGCAGATGACACGCTAATGATGCATTTAGGCTCACGATGTATTTAGGCCAATAGGTAGGGGAAGGGTGTTAAAGAGTTATTTGAACGTCACAGATTTGGCCAGATCGCTTCGTGGGCAACGTTAGTTTCCCCGCGGGCAACTCCGTTCCCAGGTTCCGCACGGCGAAGTGCGCTGGGACCCTGCAGGGGCACTGAAAGCTCCGTGCCAATTCAGAGGAAGGTGCGGCCCTCGGGTGAGAGAGCACGCGCTTGCATACCGCGGGATGTGGGGCGCCGATTCAAATGAATCACCGCACTTCGGGTCACGAGGGACGTGTTGTGCAATCGGCAGGAGCGGGCGGCGTGCAAGTCGGATGAACGGAGATCGGCGAAACACGGGACGGGGGGGGCGCGTGCCATGTGGGCGTCGTGAGGCCTGGAGGCTCGTGCCAGACGTCTAATTGTGCTCTGTAGGGCGGCTCGCAATTGAAACATTGCAAGTTCAAATCCCGGTATGGAGTGGACCCAGCCCATCTTGCCACCATTCAGGGTCACGTTCCCAAAAGCCCTCGATCATTACTGTCATAACGAGCTTCCCATAATTTCATTATTAGGTGGCTTTGTAAATGTTGTCGGGGGAGGGGGTATTAAGGGGGGGGGGGGACCCGAGGGACGAAATGTGACGTCACGGTTCCCAGCCAAGGCTGAAAACCTGTCGGGCTTGTGCCGTTGCGTAACGTGTGAAGACCACGCGTTCAAACCCCCCAGTGTAATGCCCGTAAATTACTAATATTTGATTGTAAAATAACCTAAATTATTACCATTAAGTGCATTGCGCCTATAGCGTCCCCCACCCATCCTCCCGGCTGTAGCATCGTCGCGTCTTGCCCACACAGTGTTCATTGCGTGACTCCTACCACCCTCGTACTTTTCAAAGACATCATTGCGGGGACCCCAATGCCCCTCCCGCCACCAGCGAATTGTTCCAATCGAACCCTTTCGTTGCACGAGATTGTCGCTGAACGATTCGTAGTTGACTGTGCGTTAGGCCACCCACGTAGTCATGATTCGGTCAAATTTCGTGTCGCGAAACCCACCATCACCTGACGCAAGTAAATTCAATTGTCCACAGGGTGCACGAGCGATTGTGATCATTGGGAGGAGCGGTGGTGTAGCGGTTCGCGCGCTGCGCTATGAACCTGGTGACCCGAATTTGATTCCCGCTCACGGCCAACACCAGTAACGATTATCTGAACCGGGTCTGGGCCTCCCCTAGGTCGACTCAACCTCAAATGAGTACCTGGTGCAGTGTAAACGTCGACACTAGGGAGACAAAGGCAGTCAGGCGTGGTGCTGGCCACCCACCCCCTCAAGTATACCATGCCAGCGTTCATAGGTGCTCGCTTTCAGCACTTGCCCTAACAGTCTGTTAAGGCTATACAGGGAGGTCTGTCTTTGTTTCAGCGAGCTCGCCAATGCAGTCAAACGCTTTCACCCACCCTCTCACCTCCACACTCACGTCCGTACTCACCCACCTGCTCACTCACGTCTACTCTCACCCAGCGGCAAGTGAAGGAGAACTTCTCACAGGCCAGATTCGGTGGCGATGAGAGATGCCACGTTTCGCTTGAAACCGCACCAGGCGTCTTTAAGGAAGTAACTCGGGAAAGTGCCAACTTCACCGCAGAGAAACCCCTAGCGCATCCCGTAGCTGCATGCTGCCATTGCGAGAAACCACGAAATAAGAACCATTACACAAATGGTAAAAAATAATTTTAATCAACGTGCCGTGAGCATAAAAGTCGTACCAACAGAACTCTTTCAACCCAATGCCTGGCAGGGGTTGAGATAACTCGCAGAAACGCGCCCGCATTGTGAAAAGTCCTTAATCAAGCACGCTCGCGAACCGACGCGGTGTACCGCCGCGGGCTTCGGGGTCGCCAGTTGCACCCAGAGTAGCTGGCGTGTCGTGAAAAGAGTGGAGATTCAGGGCCACCCTTGGTCAATGTCCAGACAAGAAGTTTCACTGGGTCTGTACCACCATGGGGGGCATAACTTCAGTGGGTTCCAGCTTCTGTATGCGGCCAACAGCAGCGATTTGAGTGCATGTGCCGCGGCCGCTGTGTTTCTCATGGCGCCGCACGGCAATTGCCATTCAGGCGCTGTTGATGCTGTCCACAGACACAGCCGGCAGTCCTTTTGCAGTAGGTTGGGGAGGGGGCAATTATTACTGCTGCCGAGCGATCCCAATCCAGTAACTTGCAGGTAAAAAGAGTTCAAATTTGGACCGCCACGCCCGGGTGGAACAGCCTGCTACTCATTGCGAAAGATGGCACGTGATCGTTGACGTCCACTCTGTGGCCGAGGGTGCCTTAGTTGCGTTTTTACGGTTAAAGCACACCGCAGTAATAACCAGGGTGGCCCAAGGAATTTGAACCGCAAATCCTCTGCAACAAATGGCATTGCCGTCCTCATCAAGCAATGGCCATCTGACCAGAGCTGGTGGTTAAATACCCACCTCCAATTTGCCATGTAAACCAATAGGGAAGTCGCAGCTGGAGGTTTGCCGCCCTGGGTGGGGCTGAACTTGAGGTTGCTGGGGCCCCCACGGACTGAGCAGCTTGCGTGCGGAGCGAAAAGAGGGAGAAAGGTAATCTACCCGTCAAACTAATCCTTATTTAATCGATTATCGTACTGTAGGTTAATACGAGTGCAATTCCTATGAAATATGAAGAGAGCTAAGCTAGAGATATTTTATTTTCTGAAAGCTGCGTTGCTTCGTTTGTGTCTGCAGAATCTACATAGGCGCCACCCCCCCCCCTCCACGGGAAAAGGGGGGCTGTTACCAGGTTGGAATCTGTGAGCGCTGTTATTGTTGTGATGTCAATAAACCAGGGCATTTACAGCCATGCTTGACTCACTTCGCTGCTCTGTGAAGAAGACATGACCCGCTTCCTTTCTCTCGGCCCAGGAGGGGGGGTTTCACGCTGATGTAGATGTGATGGAAGAGATGTTGGTGGACGTATTGGTGGTGTTGCATTCATGCCCCATTACTTGGACCCCTTTATAAAAATGGCGGCCGCCCACACATCCTGCCTCCTGAAGGTGGGAAACCCGCTGGAAGCCACGCCCAGCGCGACATGGCCAATGCCCCACACTAGTTCCCGTCCAGCGGCACACGTGAAATGTTATATATATACTCCTTCTGCCCGGCACTTCAGGTAAGGAACCGACAATCGACAAAGTGTTCCATTGCTTAAGTAATCGAGCCATGTTCTGTGCAGAAGAACAAGGGGCCAATGCCCAAAACGCCGCCGAAGTAAATACAAACTGCATTGCTTTCGGGGCCCCAGTGTTACTGACATACGTGTTGACGTTTTGTCACTCATCTAATACCCGAGGTGGGGGGCCCAGCGCCGACGCCGTGTGCGTCTCCGTGCGGGCGAGTGCAGGGGGTGGGGGGCGGGAGTGTTGGCGGGGGGGAGGGGGGGGATCGTGGCGGAGAAGCTACCGGTCCACGTCCCACCGGCGCACGTGTCACTGCGCCTGCGCTCGGTGCAGGCTTGCCGAGCTGTTTGTCGACTTCATGCGCTTGGCTGCAAAACAGCGGACGGCCAAACGGTGTGACGACGCGCGACAGAGACGGACTGTGAGCAAATCACCGATGGTGCTGATGTTGGCCAATCAAAAGGGGGCAAATCACGCGACGCCATACTCACCAATGGGATTACTCGATCCGTGCATCGCTTGCCAATGAATCAACGCAGTGATTAACGCTCGATTCGATACATGGCTGTCGGATAGACTACTAGCAGAATCGATACACTATGCCCCGCTTCGGGTTCCACTAGACCATATATGGGCAGAGACATGCTCCTACGGGCAACGTCACACCTTTTTTCCATATATGGGCAGATTGCAGATCGGTGATTTCATCTGGTGTACGATTCTATTGCATTACGTGCCCTCCATTACGATCCGTCGTCAAGTGGCACAGGCTACGTGATGGTTCGCACGACGACCGCAAATCTTTTAAAGCCAGGTTACAAGTCAACGTGCATTTTGGCCGACTAAGCGAGATCATAACTCTCGCTCTTCTAAGAGTGGTTAGCGCGGGCGGTAACATCGTTGCCAAATTAGCCGACAGAAAGACAACATTTCCCCTTGCAACGTTGCCGGCGTGACGTCCCCTATGCAACGTGGCCACAATGCCCTGCAAACCACCTACCACACCCCCACCCCCCCCCCCCCCCCCGCAAAAATATTGACCGTGCATCATACTCACACGTGACGAGACGCCGCTTGCGCTGCCGTGAGTGTATCACACTGCTCATGTAGAAGAAGATGGGCAGCATGCACATGAAGATGGAGACGGCCAACACGGAGGGCGTGTCGCTGCAGTACTCCACGCAGTTGAACTGCACGCTCCAGAGCTGCCGCGTAGTGTTCATCTGTGCGGATGCGCACGGCGCTGCATCACGCGCGCGTAACGGCGCTGCATCGCGCGCGCGTGGTGCGGCGATGTGACGGCACACAGACACCACTAACGCGCACGTGCACACACCGTGCCGCATCCAACAGCATGCTGTTGGGGCAAGTGCCGTTCGTGAGCACCTATGAAGGCTGGACCGGCACGAGGGGGTGGGTGGTTTATTCCACAACCCTGCCACCTTTGTCTCCCCAGTGGCGATGTTCACACACCGGTAATCATTTGAGGCCCAGGACCAGTTCAGATAATTGTCACTGGCGTTGGCCGCGAGCGGGAATCAAACTCGAGTCGCCGGGGTTCGTAGAGCAACGCGCTGACCGCTACGCCACCGCTCCCCAAACAAACCCCACACACGTGCACACACGTGCACACACGTGCACACACGTGCACACACGTGCACACACGTGCACACACGTGCACACACGTGCACACACGTGCACACACGTGCACACACGTGCACACACCGTACCGCGTCCTCCAGGTCGATGCACAGGCTGCCGTTCTTCTGCAGCTCGGCATACATTTTCCCCAGGGTGTTGTACGCGGTCCTGCAATTGTTGCACACGGCCGAGTGTTTCACGTTGCCTTCCAGGTCGTACCGCGGCACCTGAAGGACATCACGGAAACGGGGGCGGTGAGCGGCGGGCCGACAGAGAGACACACAAAGAGGTTAAAGTCTCGGGTTGTCTCGCCAGGTGAGAACTCAAGAGGGCTAGGATACAGCCTCACTTGCCACAGTGACTGACCTGTGGCACCAGTGTGAGGGGTTGCATGTGTTGTGTGGAGTGGTGGGTAAATTGGACTCCCAGGGTAAAACTGCACCCCCGTGGTAAAACTGGAACGCCGTGGTAAAACTGGGTACCCTGTGGTAAAACTTGGACCCCCATGGTAAAATGGGGCCTCCATGGTAAAACTGGACTCCCATGGTAGGTGTGGTGGAGAGGGGTGAGCGAGTGGTTGAGAGGGGCGAGTGGTCCTCACCAGCGAGTTCTCGTGAAAGCAGGTGCGCGTCTTGTTGAGCTGCTGCATGAAGCTGATCATCCACGAAGCCACCTCCCGTGTGCCGTTCGTTCCGTTCACCAGGCAGGCTGTGGCCCACACACACACACATCCCAAGCACACACAAACATCACACACATCCCACGCACACACATCCCCCGTGTAGTCTACAGAGGCTGTTAGCGAGCACCGATGAAGGCCGGCAACGGCACACAAGGGGGTGTGGTGTGGCCAGAGTCATGCCTGGACGACATCGTCTTGTCACTTATGATGATTACAATGCACCAGGTACTCTTTTTTATGGCCGAGTTGACCTAGGGGTAGCCAGGACTGCTTAGGAGATGCGGACTGCAGCTGGGATGATTGTTCGGAAGAGTCGTCTTATCAACGAGAAACTATAACACAAGCGCCTCTATTGGCTACAACTGAGGTGACCCAAGTGGGTTGATGAGCGAGTGAGTCAGGTGAGTGAATGAGCGAGTGGATGAGTGAGCAGGTGAATTGATGAGTGACTTGGAAAATTAATGATTAGATGGGTTGAGTGAGTTGCAGGGTTGCCACTTTTTTCACAGCAGAGGCCAAGCCCTTAACACATCTCGATTAACCAGATCTCGGTTACAAACCGATCCCTGCCGCCACCCAAACACAGACGACGACGATACCCGGACCGCCTGCTTACTTACTGTGTTTAGTCATTTGAGTAAATTATTTTTAAAATGTAAATATATTATGTTTTATGCCGAGTGTCTGCTGCTGTGTCCTGTACAGCGCTTTATTACCCTTGACGAAAAGCGCTCTAGAAATGTAATTAGTATTAATTATTATTCAGCGTCAAACCCGGGACGCGCTAGCAAGAAGCCGAACCCGGGGCGACCCTCTTGAGCGGGCCCACAAGGCTGGCCCACAGGGCTGGCCCTCGCTGGCCTACAGGGCAGGCCCACTGGGCTGGCCCTCGGCTGGCCTACAGGGCAGGCCAACAGGGCCCACTGGGCTGACCCACAAGGCGGGCCCACAGAGCTGGCCCACAGGGCTGGCCCACAAGGCGGGCCCACAGGGCTGGCCCTCTGGGCGGGCCCACTGGGCTGGCCCACAGGGCCCACAGGGCGGGCCTACAGGGCTGGCCCTCTGGGCGGGCCTACAGGGCTGGCCCACAAGGCCCACAGGGCGGGCCTACAGGGCTGGCCCTCTGGGCGGGCCCACAAGGCCCACAGGGCTGGCCCACTGGGCGGGCCCACAGGGCCGGCCCACAAGGCCCACAGGGCTGGCCCTCTGGGCGGGCCCGACCTTCGCAGGAGGCGGCGTCCCAGAGGCCCTGCGAGAAGGAGTGCTGCTGGTACACGAGCTGCAGGCGGTCCGAGCGCAGCAGCGTCCTCTCGCACGTCTCGTTGTTCACCTGGACCTGGAGGGGCGAGAGGCCGAGCGAGGTGGCGGGCGTTGAGCAGCTGCCCGCAGACGGGCGGGCGGGCGGGCGAGGAACCCGATCTGTATTTATTACACTGGAGGAATCCGAAGAGCTATAAAGCTCTCTCTCTCTCACAGATGTGTGATTTGACACCGTGGTGCTGCCGAGCGCAGCCCCAAAGGCGCTCAGCCGCCTCTCGAGTGACCGCCCTGGCCACACGAACCCAACGCGGCCGTCCGTGCCCCCCCCCCACGCCTCCTCCATGGCCCCCCCCCACGCCTCCTCCATGGCCCCCCCCACGCCTCCTCCATGGCCCTGGCGGTGTGCGAGCAGCAGTCGCAGGACCCCTGCTCCCACCTAGCCCCCCCCGTCCCCTTTAGTCCCCAGTGCACCCACTCCCCCGTGGCCCCCCGTTTCCCGGCCGATCCCCTTCAGTCGCCGCTATCCCTCGCGGTCCCTTCGAACTCCCCCCCCCGCCGCCCCGGTCCCCATTGGCCCCGTGTCCCTGCGTAGCCCTATCCGCCGCGGTCCCCGTGAGCCCCTTGAGTCCCGCGTCCTTCCAGGTCCCCCTCCAGTCTCCCCTGGACCCCTTTAGGCCCCCAGTGTACCCCCCTACCCCGCACCGTGGTGAGGATCATCCCGTAGGTCCGGTTGGCGCTCCACTGCTGGATGACGCAGCTGCCGCACAGGCGCAGGGGTCGCGCGTGGCGCAGGGAGCACAGCGCCAACTCGGCGCTCCTCCTCGCGAACTCCACGAGCAGCGGGGCGCACGGGGACTCGTCGGGGGTGGGGCCCAGGGGGTCCACGGGGTACACGGGGTACAAGGGGACCTCGCCTCCCCCCCGCATCTCGGGCTCTAGCCAGGCGTGCGGCAGGCTACCACCGGGACCCCAGGCCCCCGCGGGGAAGGCGAGGAAGGGCAGCAGCAGCAGGAGGAGAAGGAGCGAGGGGATGAGGAAGGGGACGAGGCGGCCCTTGGTGGCCATGGTGGTGTTGGGCCCTGCCGATGGAGGATGTTGACGGAGCGGGGCATTCTGGGTGGGGGGAGGAAGTGAGGAAGACGCCGCGAGGTGGCGCTCTCCCCCCTCTCTCTCCGCTCTCTCTCCCCTCCCCTCTCCCCCCTCTCTCTCCTCTCTCTCTCCTCTCTCTCTCCCCTCTCCCCCCTCTCTCTCCCCCCTCTCTCTCCGCTCTCTCCCCTCTCTCTCCTCTCTCTCTCCCCTCTCTCCCCTCTCCCCCCTCTCTCCCCTCTCTCTCCGCTCTCCCCCCTCTCTCCCCCCTCTCTCTCCCCTCTCCCCCCCTCTATCTCTCCCCTCTCTCTGCTCTCCCCCCCCTCTCTCCCCCCTCTCCCTCCCCTCTCTCTCCCCCCCCCCCTCTCTCTTTTTTTTGAAGTCCAATTGGTTTATTTTTTCAAAACATCACGTTAACCGGTCTGCATTTCACTTGGGCTTCTGGGTCTGGGCCTTCAGCACCTTGACAACGATCTTCTGTTCCTCAATCAGGAAGGCGCGCTTGATTCTGTCACGGACGCACTTGGCGCGCATGGAGACTCCGTAAGCCCTGGGAACGTGCCTCTCGGTCTTTGACAACCTCTTTAGCACGGCCGGCCTCACTGCCTTCACTCCACGCAGCCGGCCGGGGCAAAGTCCACACGCAGACTTGGGGGGCCTTGCCAACCTTCCTCACGTACAGGTACACCAGCCGGCCACCGGGGGTCTTTGACAGCCTCGGTTTGTTGGAGGCCGTGTTGTAGGACAGCCTACGGCGGTAAGTGAGGCGCTGCACCATCTTGGCTTTCTTGCTTAGACGAAACTCCCCCCCCCCCCTCTCTCTATCTACGCTCTCCCCCCTCTATCTCTCTCTCCCCTCTCCGCTCTCCCCCCTCTCTCCGCCCTCTCTCTCTCTCCCCCCTCTCCCTCCGCTCTCCCCCCTCTCTTTTTTTTAAGGACCATTGGTTGGTAAATGTGTACGTTTTTATTTATTTGGTTTGGGACGGTTTACATTTTAATGACCCAATTATAAATTTTGCACAAATATAAAACACACATTCTACGGTAATGCATACAATTAGTATTTTTTTAAATTGCAGTACGATGTATTTTTTTTAACGGGAAAAATAACAACACAAATTTGCAATACATGAATTGATATTTCGTCTCTTTCCCCAATTTTATCCATGCCATGAGATGGACCAGAACTCTCAAGAGCACTGCAGAAGAAGCTGCCACAGAACTACAGCTGAGATTTCTTCGAGGTGACCTCTCATCCACAACTTTTCTTAACAAATGAATTTTAATTATTTCGGGCTGGCGAAAAAAAGCACAAAAGCAAGTATAATCGTGGGTTGTTGTTGTGGCGGTCAGACATCGGTGACTCGAGAACCGAGTTTCAGTCGGCTGCGTCGAGGATTTAAACCCAGCATCTCAGCTGTACCAGCGCGGCACTTGTGTAGTGGAGTATGAAGGTGTGTTGTGGAAACTGCGCGATTGCATGATCACACGGGCAGTGTGGGTTATCTGGGGTCAGCCTGTGGAGAAGGCGACAACAGTGTGGGTCGTGTTAGGACAGCCAGGTGCAAAGGCTGGGATGATGAGGTAACGATTGGGCCAATTAAGCCAGGTGTTTGAGGACGCGAAGCGTGCGGAGGCACGCGGGCCAATTAATTCGCGATAATGAGAATGGGGATAAATTGGGGGAGGCACACAGAGAGCGGGGAGTTGGAGTTGCGAGCTGGACGAGGAAGACGCTGTGTGCGAAGTCGCTGTGTGCGGAGGAGCTGAGGAGAATAGCCAGCAGTGGAGAGCGTAGCGGAGCTGAAAGACGCTGTGTGCGGAGTGTGCGGAGTCGCTGAGTGCGAAGCAAGTGAAGTGATAGTGGGGAGACAAAGGTGGTGAGCGAGACGAGCGGAGCACGGCGAGCGAGCCGTGGTGACCAGGATACTGTGGAGTGTGGAGGACGTGTTGAATGTTGTAAATAAAGCGGTGTTCGAAGAAAGACAGAAGTTGTCCGCGTAAAGTGGAACACTACACTTGTAACAATAAAAACCTCTACACACATGCGTCAAGAACACCGTGACCACAAGCTCAGTACCGACCACTGAGCAAGCTGGTTATTTCTGCCATACATCTTAAAAAGCAATTCAATGAATATTGTCTCTCAAATAAAAAAAACACGTTCAATGTTCTGCTTAAAGCAATTGCATGCAGAGCCTTGATCCTCCAGCGGAGGTAAATCATCGCCAGTTACGAGTGCGCACATCACTGAAACACGGATAGTGCAGCTGCCATGTGCATCCAAGCAAAGTAACTCAACCCCCTCGGACAGCGTACAAAGTTAAAGCCAGATTCTCACCACCACCGATGTAACTTGTTCCCACTACGGGACTTTGTGGCAGCCATTAATTTAAATTATTTATTACGGTCAGAGGGCAGAATACGTCTCTAAACGAAGTGTGCTTCTCACAAGACGTGAATATGCTTAATGTTTGAACCAATGGCTTTCATCGTGATAATTCGTGCTCAATACAATAAAGTGCATTATAAAACAGAAAATAAAACTCCAAAAAAACAAGTCGAAACTTGACAGTGCCCTTACACTTCATGCTAAACATGTGCAAATAACACGTGCTTAAAAAAGAACACGTGCGTGAAAAATAACACGTGCTTAAAAAAAAACAACCGCTTCTCCATGACAAATTACTCTCGCCGACGGCGCCACCAACCCCGGCAAAGTCCACGGCGGGGCCCTCCGCGTCGCCGCCCGAGCGGCTCGCGGCGCCGGCGGCGACCCACGCGACGGGGCGCCGGCGCCGCACCAAGCGCATCGCCCCCTCCAGGTCGGCGTTCTCCTCGGGGCCCGCCAGGCCGGCCGACGCCAACGAGCCGTGCTGCTTCCTCACCACCCGCAGCAGCGCCGTCGCCAGCCTGCGCGAGGGCGCCGTCTGGCACGAGGGCAGCGCGGCCGCGGCCGCCGCCTGGGCCCGGAGCCTCTCCGCGTTGTCCTTGCGCCAGGCTTCCAGGGCGCCCCTCCTCCTCCTCCTTGTGGTGGCGCCGTAACCGCGCCGCCACCAAGCGCCGCTCCAGCCGGTCCATCGGCACACACCGGCGACGAAGACGACGCTGACGACGGCTCACAACCCCCTGCGCGAGGGCGCCGTCTGGCCCGTCCGAGGGCAGCACGGCCGCGGCCGCGGCCGCGTGCGCCCGGAGCCGCTCCGCGTTGTCCCGGAGCCGGGCTGCCAGGGTGCGCCGACGCTCCTCCTCCTCGTTGTGCCGGCGGCGCGGTTGGGACGCCACCGTGCAGCGCTCCGGCACCAGGCACCGGCGACGAAGACGACGCTGACGGATGGGTCACAACCCAGAGGTGGTGGCCATTCAAATGGGGCGCCGGGTTGCGGGCGCCCACGAAGGCCGGCACGGCGCAGCACGACGTGCCGCGCCGCGCGGTGCCACGCGGTGGTCGAGTTGTGGAGCTTCGGTACCCTGCACCACGATGGGGTGGCCGGCGTCCCTCACGCTGCTGCTGCTGCAGATTCCCTCGCAGGGTCCGTCCGCCATGGCCTCGTGAGCAGCGAGCTGCGTTCGTCCTCCTGCTGCTGCCGCTCTCCCCCCTCTCTCTCGCTCTCCCTCCTCTCTCTCCGCTCTCCCTCTCTCTCCCCTCTCTCTCCGCTCTCCCCCCTCCCCTCTCTATCCCCCTTCCCCTCTTCTCACTCTATCCCTGCCTCGCTCAAATCACTCTCCCCTCTCTCACCACTCGCTCTCCCCTATCTCTCTTAACCCTCTCCCCCCTCTTTCTTAACTCTTCCCTCTCTCAACTCACCCGCTCCATCTCCCAACACTCTCTTATCTCTCCCCTCTCTCTAAACTCTCTCTCTCTAAACTCTCTCTAATCTCTCTCTAATCTCTCTCTAATCCCTCTCTAAACTCTCTCTCTAATCTATCTGTCTCTCTAATCTTTCTCTAATCTCTCTCTAAACTCTCTCTCTAAACTCTCTGTCTAATCTCTCTCTCTAATCCCTCTTTAACCTCTCTCTAAACTTTCTCTCCCCTCCCTCTCTCTAAACTCTCTCTAAACTATCCCTCAACTCTCTCTAAACTCTCTCTCTAAACTCTCTCTCATCTCTCTCTAATCTCTCTAATCTCTCTCTAAACTCTCTCTCTAATATCTCTCTAATCTCTCTCTAAACTCTCTCTCATCTCTCTCTCTAATTTCTCTCTCTAATCTCTCTCTCTAATATCTCTCTAATCTCTCTCTAAACTCTATATCTATCTAATCTCTCTCTCTAAACTCTCTCCCATCTCTCTCTAAACTCTCTCTAATTTAATCTTTGGTTTTTTCGGTAAAGTCACGTGGAAATAGGAAAAAATAAAATTACATAATATACGACGTTTCGATTGCAACACAAGCAATCATCATCAGGTAGAGGAAACACATAACCGCTGATATATATACAGACCTTAAGTAGAGGGAATTAACACAGATATACCAGGGGATACAGAGAGACGGAGCGTCACACTATATCAAACAGGGTTTAGCAAAATTTGGAAACTGTATAAAGCAACACAGACGGCTGGTTAAAACACAATTAACGCATGGTCTTGTTGAATACGCTATTTCAAAGATTGTTAAATTGTAAGTTAAGTGTGAAATTTAAGATAGTGGTGGAATACATACCGTAGAGAGACCTATGGGGGGAGACGCGCACACAGTTAAGAGGTGAAGCAACTCTGTGCCTAGGCTTTAAATAGCTAGAGATGGGGGAGGGGCTGGGAATCAGAGACAATGGTACACAAATTAGCATGATACAAGTTGTCATGCGTACAGAGAGGGCACCGTAGCGCACACTTAGAGGCACCCAGGTACAAAACTATAGGTAGAGACAACACAGCGACATCAACCCAATTCAAGACACAAAGGCAGATACAACAGCAGGGAACACAAAGACACAGATTTCATACCTCCCCGAAGAGGTGGTTCAAACTCGATTTGGTGCTTGCGTGACTGCAGGAATTAATCTTTGTTTTTTTCGGTAAAGTCACGTAGAAATAAGAAAAAATAAAATTAGATAATATACGACGTTTCGATTGCAACACAAGCAATCATCATCAGGTAGAGGAAACACATAACCGCAGATATATATACAGACCTTAAGTAGAGGGAATTAACACAGATATAACCGACCGTCTGTGTTGCTTTATACAGTTTCCAAATTTTGCTAAACCCTGTTTGATTTAGTGTGATGCTCCTTCTCTCTGTATCCCCTGGTATATCTGTGTTAATTCCCTCTACTTAAGGTCTGTATATATATCTGCGGTTGTGCACCAAATCTAGTTTTTTCTCTCTAATCTCTCTCTAATATCTCTAATATATCTCTCTAATATCTCTCTAATCTCTCTCTCTCTCTAAACTCTCTCTCTCTAATCTCTCTCTAAACTCTCTCTCTAAACGCTCTCTAATCTCTCTCTAATATCTCTCTCTCTAAACTCTCTCTCTCTAATATCTCTCTCTCTAAACTCTCTCTCTAAATTCTCTCTCTAAACTCTCTCTCTAAACCCTCTCTCTACTCTCTCTACACTCTCTCTAAACTCTCTCTAAACTCTCTATAATCTCTCTATAATCTCTAAACTCTCTCTCAACTCTCTCTAAACTCTTTCTCTCTCTAAACTCTCTCTTTCTCTAAACTCTCTCTCTCTCTAAACTCTCTCTCTCTCTCTAAACTCTCTCTCTCTCTAAACTCTCTCTCTCTCTCTAAACTCTCTCTCTCTAAACTCTCTCTAATCTCTCTCTAAACTCTCTCTCATCTCTCTCTAAACTCTCCCCAACCCCGACGCGCGCGACTCCGCCTACTGCGATCGCGTCACTTCCGGTAATGGCCGCGCCCGTGCCCTTGCCGGCACCGGCCCCCTGTGCGTTCCACCCCTGATCCCCTCCACTCCCCCCGGGACCCCCGGGACCCCTCGGGACCCCCCCCGAGACCCCCTCGACTCCCCCCGGGACCCCTTGGGTCGCCATGGCCCCCGGGGCCCCCTGGACGCGGCTGCGGGCCCTGCGACTCCTCTCCTGCCGTGTCCCAGGTGGGGACCGTGGCCCAGACGCCCTCGCTGATGCCCTTGCGTTGTGGGGGGGTAACTAACCCCTTGGGGGTCCCCTTCAGCGCGTAACACTAACCATGACCCCCTAAACCCCCCTCATATTAACCCTTATCCCTCACCGGGGCCCTTGTGGAGATATTTAAACCCTATCCGTATAACCCTCAACCCCCTGTCCCCTAATCCCCGATCGCTTAACCCCAACTCCCACCCAGTCCCAAAGCCCCTAAAACTCGTACTTTAACCCTAGAACCCGGACCCCTAAACCTTCACCTCCTCTCCTAACCTTAACCCCTTTCCCCAAACCTAACACGAGCCCCCCCCCCCCCAAACCCTAACACATCCTTAACCCTGAGTGTTGAGAGAGGTGAGCGGGGCTTGGGGAGGACCCGTCACGGCGAGAAGGGAGCGTGGCGGACGACCGATGGTCGAGGCTTTAGAACGGAATGGCAGCAGCCACAGGGATGGGGAACGCGTCCAAGAGGATTTACCAGGCGGGTGCGATGCTGAAATCCGTCCATGTGTGGAGCAGGCGGCCACTGATGTGGGTGGATCGTTTCCAGGGCAGGGATCGTGAGAGGCGGCGGCGGCGGCTTGGGTAGGAGACCTTCATCCAGCAGTGGATTGAACACGGCCAATGATGTTCGGAATTCCGAGTAAGGCGCTGGGTAGACTCCAGCTCGTTTAGAATGCAGCTGCTCGACTCTTTAAGCGAGCACCTGCTCGGCTACCAGTCAAGTCCCGAGTGGACTACGAGACGCTGCTGCTGACCTACAAGGAAATCTGTGTGGGTTCGCCCTGCAATATCTACAGGAACCGATTCCGTGTTTACTCTCCAACGAGCTCGCTGAGCTCTATCGGATCACCGCCTTCTAAGGACTCCGAGGTCAAGGCTCATTTTCTGGGGTGATCGGCTTTTGCCAATGCAGCTCCCAAGCCTTGGAACAATTTTCTTTTGCAAATAAGACAATCGGAGTCGTTATATATATTTAAGCCTATCTTGAAAACTAACCTCTGTGAACTGGCCTTTTACCCCCTGCGTAGTTCTGGCCGTCTACCCTGTGCAGGTTCTATTTTATTTCCCGGCTTTCCATACACGGGGCCCATTGGTGGGATCTACGGATGAAATGCGCCACTTTACAAATAGTAACGTATTGTTATCATGACCGTGACGCCGATGTTCATTTCCGAGTGGCGGACTCGTGGCGTTGTGTCCGGGTGGTGCGTGCCGTGGGCTGCAGCCTCTTGCGTGCACACCCGGGGCCCCGTGGCCGCCTACGCTGAGCTGGTGGAGCGCGGGGAGCTGAGGGCCGACGAGCAGCAGCGGGCGGTGGTGGGCCGGCTACAGGGCCTGCACGACGCACTGAGGGGGTACAGTCCCCCACAGCCGGGGATGTTGGCACAGGTAGCGGGGGTGGGGTGGGGTGGGGGGCGGTCCTCAGGGCCGCGTAGCGTCGGCGCAGGTGTCACACAGGTGTCGGTGTGACACCTGTGATGACGTCACACAGGTGTCACACAGGTGTCGGTGTGACACCTGTGATGACGTCACACAGGTGTCACACAGGTGTCGGTGTGACACCTGTGATGACGTCACACAGGTGTCACACAGGTGTCGGTGTGACACCTGTGATGACGTCACACAGGTGTCACACAGGTGTCGGTGTGACACCTGTGATGACGTCACACAGGTGTCACACAGGTGTCGGTGTCACATGTGATGACATCACACAGGTGTCACACAGGTGTCACACAGGTGTCGGTGTGACACCTGTGATGACGTCACACAGGTGTCACAGGTGTCGTGATACAGCTTCACACAGGTGTCACACATGTGATGACATCACACAGGTGTCACACAGGTGTCGGTGTCACGTGATGACATCACACAGGTGTCACACAGGTGTCGGTGTGACACCTGTGATGACGTCACACAGGTGTCACACAGGTGTCGGTGTCACGTGATGACATCACACAGGTGTCACACAGGTGTCGGTGTGACACCTGTGATGACATCACACAGGTGTCGTCGTGATACAGCTTCACACAGGTGTCACACGTGATGACATCACACAGGTGTCACACAGGTGTCGGTGTGACACCCGTGATGACGTCACACAGGTGTCACAGGTGTCGTCGTGATACAGCTTCACACAGGTGTCACACATGTGATGACATCACACAGGTGTCACACAGGTGTCAGTGTGACACAGCATCACATAGGTGTGCACACACACGTGTGTCTCGCACTGCGCACTTACTCACTATCCCTAACAAGTTGTGTGGGTGTGATTGTGTTTGTCTTTGGGGGTTTGTCTCAGCTGATGTCGGCTCCAACTCCGCCCGTGAAAGGGATTTACATTCACGGTGACGTCGGTGGGTTCCCCCTCGCACCACACCGGGCTGTTTCGTACTGCACCACACCGCACAGCACCACACCGTAAGCTGGGTTCCCTATTGTATGAAGGCAAAAGAACACCCTTTTTCCACTGCACAATTGAGCCATGCTGGGGCCGTGCCGAGCGTGATTGCGATGCGTGTGCTGTGTGCTGCGCGGTGCCAGGCACGGGCAAGACGATGCTCATGGACCTCTTCTTCTCACACGTAGAGGTGGAGAGGAAGTGCCGCGTCCACTTCCACTCGTTCATGCTCGACATCCACAGCCGTGAGCTCCCCGCTCGCCCACGCGCTCCCCATGCACCTCCATCCCCACTCGCCCGCATGCTCCCCGGGCCCCCCCCCCTCCACTCGCCCGCATGTGTGTAGGTGCAGAGTAAGTATATGAAAGGGCAATCACGATGTACAGCGATGCGGGCCCTGTCGGAGTTGTGGGCAGTCGAGGGCAGGGCAGCAAACACTATTTGTGTTGTGTACTTCTTTACCCGTGTCTCCCCCCGCGTCCCTGTGCCCTCCCCCCGGGTCTCCCCATGCCCCCTACCCCCCCCACCCCCATTGCAGGGATTCACCGGCTGAAGCGGACTCTGCCAGCGCGGCGCGTGGGCCGCATGGCGACTGCGTACGACCCCATTGCGCCCGTGGCGGCGCTCATCAGCCAAGACACCCACCTGCTGTGCTTCGACGAGTTTCAGGTGCCCCTCCTCCTCCTCCTCCTCCTCGAGCCTTCATTGCTCCTCCTTGCAGCGTCTCCACGCTCCTCCTCACGTGTTCTCCTGGCTCCTCCATACCTCTGCAAGCTACTCCTTGCTTTTTCACACTCGCACAGACCACCCGTAAGCTCACAGAGACCCACGACTCGCACAGAAAGATGCAGTCTCACCCAGAGACCCGAGGACTCGCACAGAGACCTGCAGGCTCACCCAGAGGCCCACGGACTCGCACAGAGACCCGTAGACTCACACAGAGACCCAGGGACTCGCACAGAGGCCAATGGACTCGCAGAGAACCACGGACTCACACAGACCCGTAGCCTCGCACAGACTCACGGACTCGCACAGAGACCCACGGACTTACGTGGCTGCCACTGTGCTGCAGGTGACCGACATTGCGGATGCCATGATCCTGAAGCAGCTGTTTGAGAACCTGTTCCGCCTCGGCGTGGTGATGGTGGCCACCTCCAACCGCCCGCCCGACGGTAGCGCACACCCCACCGGCACCGGCCGTGAGCGCACGAGCACTCTGCTACAACTACCACCGGCACCACCACCACCACCACCATCATCCCCACCACCAATGTGTTTGGAACGCAGCCATCATCGTTCCGCTGCTGCACACTCGCAGCAGCAGCAGCGTTCAATCTACGCTGACATTTAAAGTCTCCCACCCCTCTGTTAACAGCCCCACCTGTCTCCTGAAGAACCCAACCTCTATCTTGAAGGCCCCACCTCTCTTCTGAAGGCCCCACCTCTCTTTTGAAGGCCCGCCTCTGTCTTGAAGGCCCCCACCTCTATCCTGAAGGCCCCCACCTCTCTCTTGATGGGCCCACCTCTCTCCTGAAGGCCCCAACCTCTCACCTGAAGGCCCCGACCTCTATCTTGAAGGCCCCACCTCTCTTCTGAAGGCCCCACCTCTCTCTTGATGGGCCCACCTCTCTCTTGAAGGCCCCCACCTCTCTCCTGAAGGCCCCCACCTCTCTCTTGATGGGCCCCCACCTCTCTCCTGATGGCCCCCACCTCTCTCCTGATGGCCCCCACTTCTCTCCTGATGGCCCCCACCTCTCTCCTGAAGGCCCCCACCTCTCTCCTGAAGGCCCCCACCTCTCTCCTGATGGCCCCCACCTCTCTCCTGAAGGCCCCCACCTCTCTCCTGAAGGCCCCCACCTCTCTCCTGAAGGCCCCCACCTCTCTCCTGAAGGCCCCCACCTCTCTCGGCTACGCGCCACAGGGTTACAGTTGCTTGTGTCCGTGAAACATCGTGTGTGCTGTTATACATGTTGGTAATTAGTATGATCGTGTGTGCTGTTATACATGTTGGTAATTAGTATGATCGTGTGTGCTGTTATACATGTTGGTAATTAGTATGATCGTGTGTGTGCTGCTATACATGTTGGTAATTAGTATGATCGTGTGTGTTCTTATACATGTTGGTAATTAGTATGATCGTGTGTGCTCTTATACATGTTGGTAATTAGTATGATCGTGTGTGCTGTTATACATGTTGGTAATTAGTATGATCGTGTGTGTGCTGTTATACATGTTGGTAATTAGTATGATCGTGTGTGCTCTTATACATGTTGGTAATTAGTATGATCGTGTGTGTGCTGTTATACATGTTGGTAATTAGTATGATCGTGTGTGCTGTTATACATGTTGGTAATTAGTATGATCGTGTGTGCTGTTATACATGTTGGTAATTAGTATGATCGTGTGTGCTCTTATACATGTTGGTAATTAGTATGATCGTGTGTGCTGTTATACATGTTGGTAATTAGTATGATCGTGTGTGCTCTTATACATGTTGGTAATTAGTATGATCGTGTGTGCTGTTATACATGTTGGTAATTAGTATGATTGTGTGTGCTGTTATACATGTTGGTAATTAGTATGATCGTGTGTGCTCTTATACATGTTGGTAATTAGTATGATCGTGTGTGTGCTGTTATACATGTTGGTAATTATATGATCGTGTGTGCTCTTATACATGTTGGTAATTAGTATGATCGTGTGTGCTCTTATACATGTTGGTAATTAGTATGATCGTGTGTGCTCTTATACATGTTGGTAATTAGTATGATCGTGTGTGCTGTTATACATGTTGGTAATTAGTATGATAAAAGCATTCATCTGTTTGACACAACAATCTCATCTCTAATCTGCAAGCCTGAATTTCAGTTTCCTAACAACTCATAGGTCTATAGACGTGGCAGTAGACGGTGGCTAGGCTGGTATCTTCACCGGTCGCTCTGGCATTCCGCAAGATCTCTGCATCGAACAAAGATGGTCACTGCATCGCGTGCTTTCAGATGAGCTTCAACGGCCGTCTGTAACTCTCTTCCCTTCAGATATTAGGAAGCCACTGGAGCTATGCACTTTAAATTATCTATATTGAAAACAATTTTTTTAGAACTGCTTTTCGTGTTTAGTTTGTTGTCCTTCCCCCGCACCTCCGATTAGCACAGTTGGCTACGTACGATGCTGAATAATTATACATACATACTTTACCAACTCGTCTCCCACTCACAATGGGAGCCACTTCCTTTGCAGATGACAGCGCCCTCCGTGGCATCGTACTCAATAACAACCTCTGTGCGCATTCAGCGATGACCATGACCACGTAGGGCTGACCAATCCACAGCTCCTCCTGAATCGTCTTAAGCTTTGATATTCTTATGAACAGATAAACCACGACTCAGCTTGGTCCAGCAGTCTCTTCTGAGCTTGCCGTGGAACGGCTTTATCACTCATCTGGCTATGGAGAAGTCTGGTTTTATTCTCTGTGCCAAGGCCTCTCTCACTCCGAGCACTTATCACTGCTGCTACGCGCAGTACAGATTCGGCAACAGCTGGAATCATCCTGCTGCTGCTGGGTGCTCTCAGAACTGGGGTGGAGCACCCGGTTCCCACCTCACTCAACCACCGGATAGAGGTCAGGGTAAATCAACGGTCAGGTCGACGGATGATCCAGCACTCGCTGATTTACTCGGTAGTGGGGATAGCGGTGGTGGTGGGGAGGGCAGTGGTGGTGGTGGGGAGAGTGGTGATGGTGGTGGGGAGAGCGGTGGTGGTGGTGGGGAGAGCGGCGGTGGTAGTGGTGGTGGGGAGAGCGGTGGTGGTGGGTGTAGGGAGAGCAGTGGCGGTGGTAGGGAGAGTGGTGATGGTGGTGGGGAGGGCAGCGGTGGTGGTGGTGGTGGGGAGAGCGGTGGTGCGGGAGAGAGCGGTGGTGGTGGTGGTGGGGAGAGTGGTGGTGGTGATGGTAGGGAGAGCGGTGGTGGGGGAGAGAGCGGTGGTGGTGGGGGTCTACTGGCCCGGAGTGGTTGCTCGAGTTGGCTCCGTGTGTTTGTCCCAGATCTGTACAAGCACGGCCTGCAGAGGGTCAACTTCCTCCCCTTCATCGGCGTCCTCAAGGTGAGGGGCAGCGCCGGCCTCCTGCGTGCCGACAGATTCTGATGCGGTCAACTCCAGAGGGTGAAGCCTCCGGAGGGTGGACTCGGTCAACTCCGGAGGGTGACTCGGTGAACTCTGTGACACGGTCTGTGTGTGTGTGTGTGTGCAGGCTCAATGTTTGTGCTGGGGAGCAGTGGCACAGCGGTTAGTGCACTGCTGTCCGGTACCGGTGACCCGTGTTTGAATTCCCGCTCACGATTAACGCCGGTGATGAGCAAATTAACCTGTCACTGGGCCTCCCTTAGTTTGAATCGGCCTTAAATGAATACCCGGTACTGTGTGCGTGTGTGTGTGTCTATAAACATCGCCATAGGCGGCCGGGTGTGGCCCTGGCCACACCGCCCCTCGTACGCCGTGCCCGGCCTTCAGAGGTGCTCCACGGGGGATGTCTGTACGCGCGCGTGTGTGTGTGTGAGCAGGCTCGCTGCGAGTGCATACGGCTGGACTCGGGCATCGACTACCGCCAGCACGGGCAGCCTGCCACCGGGAAGCTCTACTTCCTGTGAGGGCTCCGGCCGCGGCACACCGCACGGCACGGCGTGCGGTGTGTTCCACGTTTATACAAGCTTGCCAAATAAACGCGTCCGGCAGTTCGCCGGTATTGGGTTGGAAGGGAGCCCGACTCTGCGGCGACTCCGCGCCGAGCGTCGGCTCCGGTCACCACCCGGGTGCTGACCGAGTCTCTCGCCACGCGCAGGACGGGCGACGCGGACACGGACGAGCGGCTGGACTCGCTGTTCGACGAGCTCACCTACTCGCAGAACGACAGTGAGCGTCGCCCCCCATGCAATCCCGCCTGCGCCACTGCGATGCACGGCCGCACCGTGCCGTGCCGTGTCGCACCGCGCCGCGCCGTGCCGTGCCGTGCCGTGCCGCGCCGTGCCGTGCCGCGCCGTGCCGTGCCGCGCCGTGCCGCGCCGTGCCGCGCCGTGCCATGCCGTGTTCTATGCTATTCCACGTCCACCGTGCTGTGCCGTGGCTGTTGTGCCATGCTGCGTGTACGGCGCTGTCCTCTGTCGTGCCACATGTACCGTGCTGTGCTACTCTGCCATGCTGTGTGTACCGTCCTGTGCTGTGTTACTCTGCCATGCTGTGTGTACCGTCCTGTGCTGTGTTACTCTGCCATGCTGTGTGTACCGTCCTGTGTTACTCTGCCATGCTGTGTGTACCGTCCTGTGTTACTCTGCCATGCTGTGTGTACCGTCCTGTGTTACTCTGCCATGCTGTGTGTACCGTCCTGTGTTACTCTGCCATGCTGTGTGTACCGTCCTGTGCTACTCTGTCATGCTGTGTGTACCGTCCTGTGCTGTGTTACTCTGCCATGCTGTGTGTACCGTCCTGTCCCTCGCCGGTTGCCCGCGTGTCGCACGCTCGTTTGTGCCCCGATCGCCGTGGCTGCCGCACGTCCACGCTGGTGTGCGCCTCGTGCCGTGCCCTCTGCTGTCGTGCTGGGATTATGCCGGAGTGTCTTGTGCCGTGCGCCATGATTGACATTGCTATTTCACCGTGGTCTGTGTGATGTTACCATGCTGTCACCATGGTTTCGCCGTGACGTGCCGCGCGCAGTCGCGCGTCCGCGTCTCCTCCGCGTGGGCGGCAGGGAGCTGCGCTTGAGACGCGCTTGTGGTGACGTTGCCGACTGCACCTTCTCCGAGCTGTGCGACCGGGTGAGTGAGCGGTGAGTGCACAGTGAGCGGTGAGTGCCCCGTGATTGATTGACTGTGTGGTGAGTGCCCCGTGAGTGAGTGAGTGAGCGAGTGGTGAGTGGCCTGTGAGTGAGTGAGTGGTGAGTGCCCCGTGAGTGAGCGAGCGAGTGGTGAGCGGCCCCGTGAGTTAGCGAGTGAGTGGTGAGTGCTTTGTGAGTGAGTGAGTGAGCGAGTGGTGAGTGAGTGAGTGAGCGAGTGGTGAGTGCCCCGTGAGTGAGTGAGTGAGTGAGCGAGCGAGCGAGCAAGCGAGCGAGCAAGTGGCGAGTGCCCCGTGAGTGAGCAAGTGGTGAGTGCCCCGTGAGTGAGTGAGCGAGCGAGTGAGCGAGTGGTGAGTGAGTGAGTGAGCAAGTGGTGAGTGCCCCGTGAGTGAGCGAGTGAGCGAGTGGTGAGTGCCCCGTGAGTGAGCGAGTGAGTGGTGAGTGCCTCGTGAGTGAGTGAGCGAGCGAGTGGTGAGTGAGTGAGTGAGCGAGTGGTGAGTGTCCCGTGAGTGAGTGAACAAGCGAGTGGTGAGTGCCCCTTGAGTGAGCGAGTGGTGAGTGAGTGAGTGAGCAAGTGGTGAGTGCCCCGTGAGTGAGCGAGTGAGCGAGTGGTGAGTGCCCCGTGAGTGAGCGAGTGAGTGGTGAGTGCCTCGTGAGTGAGTGAGCGAGCGAGTGGTGAGTGCCCCTTGAGTGAGCGAGTGGTGAGTGAGTGAGTGAGCAAGTGGTGAGTGCCCCTTGAGTGAGTGAGTGAACAAGCGAGTGGTGAGTGCCCCGTGAGTGAGTGAACAAGCGAGTGGTGAGTGAGTGAGCGAGCGAGCGGTGAGTGAGTGAGCGAGCGAGTGGTGAGTGTCCCGTGAGTGAGTGAGTGAGTGAACAAGCGAGTGGTGAGTGCCCCTTGAGTGAGTGAGTGAACAAGCGAGTGGTGAGTGCCCCTTGAGTGAGTGAGCGAGCGAGTGAGCGAGTGGTGAGTGAGTGAGTGAGCGAGTGGTGAGTGCCCCGTGAGTGAGTGAACAAGCGAGTGGTGAGTGCCCCGTGAGTGAGCGAGTGGTGAGTGCCCTGGCGTGTGTCCCCGTCTCAGCCCCTGGGAGCGAGCGATTACCTGGAGCTGTGTCGCCACTTCCGCACGGTGTTCGTGCGGCGCGTCCCGCGACTCGCGCTGGCGCAGCGCACGCAGGCGCGTCGCTTCATCACCTTCGTGGACACGCTGTACGACGCCAAGGTCGCTACACCTCCTCGGCACCACCACTGCACCTTTACACCACCGCGACAACCTCTACACCACTTGCACAGACGTGTGCTGCACGACGCCACGGTCTCTCCTCCACATCTCCGTTCTGGTCTTCATAGGTGCTCGCTAACTTTTCCCCAACAGTCTTTTAAAGCTATGTGGGAGAGAGCTGTTTGTACGTGTGTGTGTACGTGTACGTGTGTAGGTGCGCGTGGTGATCTCGGCCGAGGTGCCGCTGTCGCTGCTATTTGCGAGTGAGCCGGACGGATCGATGGATCGTGAGCTCATGGATGACCTGGGCATCGCTGAGGTGAGGGGGGTGGTGCACGTGCGTGTGTTTAGAGGTTAGGTCATGTAGCCCGCATGCCCAGCCACCGCATGCCTAAACAGCTTTTGTTCGGCCGGATCGAGGGGGATAAATGGGCTCGGCACGGGCTAGAGAAGAGATGGAGTGACGTGGTACAGGAGGACGTGGAGCTGAGTGGACTTGCCGATGACTGGTACCAGCGGTGTCATGATCGGCCTCTGTGGAGGAGGCTCGTGAAGGACGCTACTGGGCAGTTGGAGGCAGTCGCCCTCCAACAACAACGGAAGGGCGGAGGAGCGACGCTCACAACAATGAGCAGAGTGCCAGGTGGCTGAAGCACAGCAAGTTGGTACAGTAGGGGGCACAGGTGGTGCATCAGCCAGTCATCTCAGTGAGTCGGCCCCTGGCACCTGGGTCTGTCCCGTGACTTCCTGCCAACGGGCGTTTGACACTTCACGTGGCCTTAACGTGCACATAGCCTGGCACAAACGCCGTGGTGACGTCACTGCCACTTAGTGGCGAATGGCAGTTGTTGTTGCTGGATGTTTGCTCGCTAACAGCATTTGCCCCTAAAGTCTGTTAAGGCTATACGCGGGATCTTTGTCTTTGTGTGTGTGAAGCAGTAGTGCAGCAGTAGTGCAGCGGTTAGCGCACTGCACTACGGACCCGGCTAACCGGGTTCGATTCCCGCCCACGACCAACACTCGTGACGAATATTTTAAGCGGCCCACGTGTGTATACTTGCGTGTTTGTGCGTACGTGTGTGTGCGTGTCTGCGCGTACGTGTGCGTGTCTGCGCGTACGTGTAACTGCCAACACGCGTGCGTTCCCCCTGCCCCCCCTCATAGGCCTCTGCGGCGTCTCTCTCCGTGTTTGGGGGGCAAGAGGAGACATTTGCATTTGCACGAACCACCTCGCGTCTCACGGAGATGCACACCCACGCCTACTGGAGTGGAGCCGCCAACACCACCACCACCACCAGTGCCAACACCACCACCAGTGCCAACACCACTACCCCCACCGCCACCACCAATACAGACAACGCCACCACCACCACCGGTGCCAAAACCACCACCAGTGCCAAAACCACTACCACCACCATTACAGACACCACCACCGCCACTACCAATACAGACACCACCACCACCGCCACCACCAATACAGACACCACCACCGCCACTACCGGTATGGGGCACAGCTGAGACCGGCTCCCAGCTCCCTCTATGTGGGGGGCCATCTCAGCGAAGCCCCCTTTACGGAACCCCTTGGCCAAGCCCCTAGGAGAGCGTCTCAGCATGGAGGGGAAGGTGGAGTGTGGGCGGAGGGCTGGGTGGTGAAGGGCCATGGCGTTGGGGGGGGGGGGGGTTTGTGGAACAAGTTTAGATTTGAACCACCGTCCCCTTTGTGGGACCCGCACACGATTCCAATCTTAATGTTTGTGACTTCAGATCTTCTCGAGACGACGGGTTCTTACTTGCCAGAGAGCCGGCCCGCGGAAGGGATCATTGCATAACTACATCCGAGATCCTGTCAAGCGGGGACCTCTGGTCCGTACCGAGGGGGCGGCCAGCGGTCTCCCCCGCCCTGCAGCGCGACGTTCATGCGTGCTGCAGTCAGGCCGCGTTTTTAACTCGGGAGAGTGTAGCCCGTTTTAAGTGATCGAACCGATGTTTTAGTTGTGATTTTCAGATCTGGAATTTCACCAACTTGAGTGAAAAATCTAACTGAATACAATTATCATTGTTATTGTTTCCAGCCAACGGTGAGCGGGCCAAGACCATCAACTCACTACGCTTGAGCAGCCTTTTTAATGACAACTCGGTCTATGTGTGAGTCCACGGGTCTCGATGCAAGTCGATGGATCCCCATGTGAATCTATGTAAGTCATTGCTGACCAGGCTGAGCCCATCAACACACTATGTATCCGCTGTGGCTGTGCGAACTGAAACCCGGACCGGATCCCAGCATCTCAGCGGTGCCGGCTCTGAGTATATCTGAATATTTAAAGATCCCCTACATTTCCATATTCATAAGCTAGCTTCGCTGGAATTGGTAAGGAGGTGAGGCGAGACGATTCCTCAGCAGGGACAAGGGTACGGAAAGAGTTAGTACACGACGTCGTAGCAATGTCATAAGTTTTGTCGGTGATGAAATTTGTCGTAGCTCCGGGCGAATGCGATAAGTTACGAACGTCGTAGGCTTCGTGGGGTTCACGAGGACCGGCCGTGACCCCATCGTAACCAGTAAATACATTTAATAATTAATCACGAAAGTCATTGGTAACAGCCACATTAATAAAGTGGAACCCCTCTTAACGACGGTGATTGGTTCGACGGAACCGGTCGTTAAGCGAGTCTAGGAAATGCACGTTAAAGGTTTAATTCGTTCCGATAGCATCGAAAGTTACCATTTTTCACCCAAAAAAGTACTTTCTAATATTTAAACAATACGTAAAGATACTAACAACAATATAAACATTCTTTGGTTCTTTTGGTAAAGTAGATAGAAAAAAAAGTGAATAAAAATAAAATAATAAAAATAATATTTTATTTTGATTCAAATTTTTTATTCAGATTTTTCTATCTACGCGACTTTACCGAAAGAACCATAGAATATTAATTAATGCAGTCACGAAAGTTTTAAGTGAAATTTTTACAATATAAACACGTTAAAAGAAACATGGTTAATCAACGCATTCATTCATATTTACCGTACCTACAACAGCCCGTCGTTAATAGGGGAATAGTCGGCAAGCGGACACATTGGGCTCTATCGAGGCCCGTCGGCGATTAGTCGTTAACAGGGGCGGTCGTTAAGCGATTAGTCGTTAACAGGGGCGGTCGTTAAGAGGGGTTCTCCTGTGACAACAACAATTGCAGTGCGCACACGGAGTGATGATGTCACACCGGCCATGCTGCACGGGGGGAAGTGGGGGGGGAATCTTCCCTGACAGCCGATTGTCCCTTACGCGAGCGACACGAGTCACGATCTCGCTACGACCCCCCCCCCCCCGGCCATCTGACTTGAGACGCCCGTCGCGCTAGCTGCCACGTAGCCCACGGGACCTGGCGACGGATCGTGAGGGACCCCTCCTGGCCGTGCCGGGCCGGGGCCCCCCGGGCGCGGCCTGGCCGACGGGCCCGGCACGCTTCTCGCCTCGGTTCCGAAATTTCTTCATGAGGTCGAACATTTCCGAGCTCGGCGTTCGCGCGGAGGCCGTCTGAATGTATTTCAAGTGCACAACTTCGTAAATTATAGCTGTCCGCGCGTCCTCGCAATTAAAACTATTATTTACTGGCAGTGCGTTGGCGCCACCCCCCCCCCCCCCGTGGTGTGTGCGGCGTCCCGCGTGGTCCCCAGCCCGTCTCTCCACTCCGCTTCCATGTGCCATCACGAAGGGCCATTTGCCCGAAACGTCGCCGTTTTTGCCACGGTGGGTTACTGAGGAACGCGTTGGGCGATGCCCCCTCCCGTCCTCTCTCTGCCGTGGTTGACCCCCGTGGTTGACCCCGTGGTTGACCTCCGTGGTGGATCCTTGTGGTGGACCGCAGTGGTTGACCGTCGTGGTTGTAATGCTAAAGGACTTCAGCAGTTATAGACCACAGATGATGGTAGTAATGTTAAAATACTTAAGCAGTGGATAGACCACGGGTGATGATGGTGTTAATGCAAAAGTATTTTATTCAGCAGTGGATAGACCACGGGTGGTGGATGGTGAGTGAGCAGTTCCCACTGAGAAACCTGGTCACCCCGACTGCTCCCGTCTCTGTCCACCAGGGGTCACTCGGGGCTCTCTTCCCGTGATCCCGAGACCTCGAAGAGCAAGGGGACCTCCCAAAGGGGCTGGTGGATGGGGGGGGGGTCATTAAACCCCGGCTGTACCACGCTTCCCAGGGGTTCAAGGGGCTTCAGGGACCTCTAGGGAGCGTCCATGGGCTCCACAGACCTCTGGAGGTTCCAGAATTCTCCAGGTACTTTGACAGCCTCCAGGGTCTAAAGTGGCTCGAATGGGTTTCAGAAACCTCCAGGAACCTGCAGGGATTTCAGAGACCTACAAGAACTCTAAGGTCTGGGATCTCCAGGGACCTCCCGGAATCCCAAGAGGCTCCAGGAACATCCAGGTGCCTCCGGGATCTCCAGGAATCCCAAAGGGGCCCCAGGGACCTCCAAGGGCTGCAAGGACCCCAAGGGGCTCCAGGGACATCCAGGAATCCCAAGGGCCTCTAGGAACATCCAGGAATCCCAAGGGGCTCCAGGGACATCCAGGAATCCCAAGGGGCTCCAGAGACATCCAGGAATCCCAAGGGGCTCCAGGGACATCCAGGAATCCCAAGGGGCTCCAGGGACATCCAGGAATCCCAAGGGGCTCCAGAGACATCCAGGAATCCCAAGGGGCTCCAGAGACATCCAGGAATCCCAAGGGGCTCCAGGGACATCCAGGAATCCCAAGGGGCTCCAGGGACATCCAGGAATCCCAAGGGGCTCCAGGGACATCCAGGAAACCCAAGGGGCTCCAGAGACATCCAGGAATCCCAAGGGGCTCCAGGGACATCCAGGAATCCCAAGGGGCTCCAGGGACATCCAGGAATCCCAAGGGGCTCCAGGGACATCCAGGAATCCCAAGGGGCTCCAGACACATCTAGGAATCCCAAGGGGCTCCAGGGACATCCAGGAATCCCAAGGGGCTCCAGGGACATCCAGGAATCCCAAGGGGCTCCAGGGACATCCAGGAATCCCAAGGGGCTCGAGGGACATCCAGGAATTCCAAGGGGCTCCAGGGACATCCAGGAATCCCAAGGGGCTCCAGGGACATCCAGGAATCCCAAGGGGCTCCAGGGACATCCAGGAATCCCAAGGGGCTCCAGGGACATCCAGGAATCCCAAGGGGCTCCAGGGACATCCAGGAATCCCAAGGGGCTCCAGGGACATCCAGGAATCCCAAGGGGCTCCAGGGACATCCAGGAATCCCAAGGGGCTCCAGGGACATCCAGGAATCCCAAGGGGCTCCAGGGACATCCAGGAATCCCAAGGGGCTCCAGGGACATCCAGGAATCCCAAGGGGCTCCAGAGACATCCAGGAATCCCAAGGGGCTCCAGGGACATCCAGGAATCCCAATGGGCTCCAGGGACATCCAGGAATCCCAAGGGGCTCCAGAGACATCCAGGAATCCCAAGGGGCTCCAGAGACATCCAGGAATCCCAAGGGGCTCCAGGGACATCCAGGAATCCCAAGGGGCTCCAGGGACATCCAGGAAACCCAAGGGGCTCCAGGGACATCCAGGAAACCCAAGGGGCTCCAGAGACATCCAGGAATCCCAAGGGGCTCCAGGGACATCCAGGAATCCCAAGGGGCTCCAGGGACATCCAGGAATCCCAAGGGGCTCCAGGGACATCCAGGAAACCCAAGGGGCTCCAGAGACATCCAGGAATCCCAAGGGGCTCCAGGGACATCCAGGAATCCCAAGGGGCTCTAGGGACATCCAGGAATCCCAAGGGGCTCCAGGGACATCCAGGAATCCCAAGGGGCTCCAGGACACATCTAGGAATCCCAAGGGGCTCCAGGGACATCCAGGAATCCCAAGGGTCTCCAGGGACATCCAGGAATCCCAAGGGGCTCCAGGGACATCCAGGAATCCCAAGGGGCTCCAGGGACATCCAGGAATCCCAAGGGGCTCCAGGGACATCCAGGAATCCAAAGGGGCTCCAGGGACATCCAGGAATCCCAAGGGGCTCCAGGGACATCCAGGAATCCCAAGGGGCTCCAGGGACATCCAGGAATCCCAAGGGGCTCCAGGGACATCCAGGAATCCCAAGGGGCTCCAGGGACATCCAGGAATCCCAAGGGGCTCCAGGGACATCCAGGAATCCAAGGGGCTCAGGGACATCCAGGAATCCCAAGGGGCTCCAGGGACATCCAGGAATCCCAAGGGGCTCCAGGGACATCCAGGAATCCCAAGGGGCTCCAGGGACATCCAGGAATCCCAAGGGGCTCCAGGGACATCCAGGAATCCCAAGGGGCTCCAGGGACATCCAGGAATCCCAAGGGGCTCCAGGGACATCCAGGAATCCCAAGGGGCTCCAGGGACATCCAGGAATCCCAAGGGGCTCCAGGGACATCCAGGAATCCCAAGGGGCTCCAGGGACATCCAGGAATCCCAAGGGGCTCCAGGGACATCCAGGAATCCCAAGGGGCTCCAGGGACATCCAGGAATCCCAAGGGGCTCCAGGGACATCCAGGAATCCCAAGGGGCTCCAGGAACATCCAGGAATCCCAAGGGGCTCCAGGGACATCCAGGAATCCCAAGGGGCTCCAGGGACATCCAGGAATCCCAAGGGGCTCCAGGGACATCCAGGAATCCCAAGGGGCTCCAGGGACATCCAGGAATCCCAAGGGGCTCCAGGGACATCCAGGAATCCCAAGGGGCTCCAGGGACATCCAGGAATCCCAAGGGGCTCCAGGGACATCCAGGAATCCCAAGGGGGGCCAGGGACATACAGGAATCCCAAGGGGCTCCAGGGACATACAGGAATCCCAAGGGGCCCCAGGGACATACAGGAATCCCAAGGGGCTCCAGGGACATCCAGGAATCCCAAGGGGCTACAGGGACATCCAGGAATCCCAAGGGGCTCCAGGCACATCCTTGAATCCCAAGGGGCTCCAGGCACATCCAGGAATCCCAAGGGGCTCCAGGCACATCCAGGAATCCCAAGGCGCTCTAGGGACATCCAGGAATCCCAAGGGGCTCCAGGCACATCCAGGAATCCCAAGGGGCTCCAGGCACATACAGGAATCCCAAGGGGCTCCAGGGACATCCAGGAATCCCAAGGGGCTCCAGGGACATCCAGGAATCCCAAGGGGCTCCAGGGACATCCAGGAATCCCAAGGGGCTCCAGGGACATCCAGGAATCCCAAGGGGCTCCAGGGACATCCAGGAATCCCAAGGGGCTCCAGGGACATCCAGGAATCCCAAGGGGCTCCAGGGACATTCAGGAATCCCAAGGGGCTCCAGGGACATCCAGGAATCCCAAGGGGCTCCAGGGACATCCAGGAATCCCAAGGGGCTCCAGGGACATCCAGGAA